AACAATACCGGGTTTTTTTGAATTCGTCGCAAAATTCGTTGGAAATTTCCAACGAATTTTCCCACGAATTTAAAAAATGCTGAACAATACCGGGTTTTTTTGAATTCGTCGCAAAATTCGTTGGAAATTTCCAACGAAAAATTTTTCGTCGCTAATTTCCAACGAATTTTGCGACGAAAAATTGGAAATTAGCGACGAAAAATTTTTCGTTGGAAATTTCCAAGGAATTTTGCGACGAAAAATTTTTCGTCGTTAATTTCTGACGAATTTTACTTTTCGTTGGAAAATTTGTCGCAAATTTGCGACGAAAATTTTTTCGTCGCAAATTTTCGTGGCAAAAATCCAGTTTTTTTGTAGTCCTTGTGAAATTTGAAAAGAGTTGGTGACTTACTAGATGTTAATAAATTCCTTATAATGCCGGTAGTTGACTATAGGAGCGAGCGGTTCCAAATATCTTACAGGTTCCACCTAGAACCTGGAACCTACCATCGAGTATAGGTTTCTCATTTTTTGAAACCCGGAACCTACCCGTTGGAACTTTGAGCCTGGAACCTACCCTATCACAGGTTCCAGGATAAGTTACAAAGTCTAACGGGTTCTTTTTTTTATTTCATTTTTAGTTAAACAAAACGAAAAATGAGCAGAACAATATCGAACAAGCTTGTCATTCACCAAAGAGAATACAAAAGACTAGTTTTCTTGGCATTACGGCTCAAATAAATACAATTAAAATGAGAAGTCATTGCGTGAATCGATACTAAGGATGAATGGTTCCATGTTCCGTACAGGTTCCACCTAGAACCTACCCATAAGAATAATTTCCTCATTTTTTGGAATTTGAAACCTACCTTATCATAGGTTTTAGGTTGGTTTCAGGGTCTATTCAGGTTCCCCCTATATTATTAATTGAACAACTGTAATGAATCATCACCTTTAATGACTACCACTTGCTGCTTTAATCCACTGACCACAACTTATATTTAGACACATGAAAAATATGAAATATTAACAAATCATAAAATGAAAGCTCAGACTAGTGGTTCCAAATTATACATTGATCATCTAACGCCGTGAAACACCACAAAATCACGTGAAGATATAAACTAAGAAAAAACACAAAAAACTTGTTTAGGTTCTAGGTTCCAGCTTCCACCTACCTAGAACCTGGAATCTACCCATCAAAACAAATTCCCCAAATTTTGGAACTTAGAACCTACTCTGCATACCTTGGAACCTGAAACCTACATGTTCCCATCGGTCAGGTTCTCCGGTTCCAGGGTAGAACCTAGAACCATGCTCACCCCTAGTTGACTAACCACACCCGTAAAATTAGTTAATTAAAAAAAGAAAAAATTTCAAATAAGGATCCGAAGTACCATCATTTTCTCAAATAAGGACCTGAAGTGGACTTTGTGTCAAATAAAGACATGAAGTGCTCTTTTTTTTTCTCAAATAAGAGCCTGAAAGTGGTTATAACAATTTCAAATAAAGGCCTCACCCCGCCGGCTCGCTGACCGACCAAAGTTTCCGACCGATCAAGGGCATTTTCGTCCAAAAATAATTTTAATATAAATTTTAATTAAATTAAATTTAAAAATTTACAAAAAAAAAAAGAAAAGAAAAAAACGGGGGAGGGTCACCTGTGGCCGCCGGCCCACTGTGACCACCGCCCCATCGCTGGTGGGGCGACGGCCATGGCCGGTGGGGTCATCGACGCTTCAGTGAGGGCCAGCGACCGTCATTGACCAGAACCGGGAGGGTCAGGCGACCCTCTCCCAGATCTAGCGAGGGTCGCCGACCCTCACCCCCGTCTGGGCGAGCGTCGTCGGCCCTCGCCTAGGTCTGGGAGAGGGTCGCCAGACCTGTGCGAGGGCCAGTGACCCTTGCTAGATCTGGGAGAGGGTCGCTCGACCCTCCCGGTTCTGGCGAGGGCCACCAGGCCCTCGCTGAAGCGCCGGCGATCTCGCTGGCCATGGCCGCCGCCCCACCGGCGATGGGGCGGCGGCCACAATGGGCCGATGGCCACAGGCAGGAGAGGGCTCCCCTGTTTTTTTTTTTTTTTTTGAGTTTGTTTTTTATGGAAAAAAAAAACACAAAAGGAAAGAAAAAAAATTAAAAGACGAAAATGCCCTCGACTCTGGTAAGGTTATGCCCTTTTTTGCAACTGAAATAGCCACTTCCGATCCTTATTTGAGACAAATTTCACTTCAGGTCTTTATTTGAGAAAATGAGGGCATTTCAAGTCCTTATTTGACACAAGGTTCACTTCAGGTCATTATTTGAGAAAATGAGAGCACTTCGGATCCTTATTTGAAATTTTCCCTAAAAAAAATTATAATGGAAGGTTAAATAAATATGGCAGTATCGTCGAAGTGATAGAAAGATGTTTCTTTTTTGGGTCAAATAAGTACCTCATGTTGAAATGGTAAAATTATTCATGACTATTGAGAAGAAAATTTTACTACTTTCTTATAATATGTTCAGTTAAATATATAAGAAGGAATTTAGTCCCAAAAAAGGGTAAAAATGGGATCTGTACTATGTTCGACTAAGAAAATACCGCATAGAAATTAATTTCCCACTTGATGAGGAAGTGAAATTCAATATTCACCAAGATTTCCGTCTTTTCCTTCTTCGTCGTACATGATTTTCCCTCTTTACTATTGAACAGAAAGTAATGTATCATAAACTGAAATATAACTCCTTTAGTGAGGTTTTAGAAAAAAAAAATCTTTGAGAAACTAGACGCAGGCTTTGATCCGACGATCTTTCCATATTTATGAAAGGAGAAGTAAAATTAGGCATTGATCGGTTCTTGATAAATTTTACAGTATGAAAAACAAATGCTTTTTTTTTTTTTGCTGCTCTTAAAATGATAGAATCAGTCAATAGTCAAAGTAAATTCATTTCTCCTATTGATTAGGCTGTAAAAAGCGAAAGATTTAAAGTTCAATTTTCTTGTTACAATGGATTATTTTTCCCCGAGTCAATAACTTTCCTTATATCGTTTCTCTGGCCGCGAGGCATGCTACAGGGCATTTTAACTTGGTGTGTTGTTGGACTGTTTCTGGATGCTGTTTGTCCTATACTTTTTTTTTCTTTCTTGTTGGATTGATGAGCTCATTTGAACTCACTTTTCTATATTTTTCTCTGTGGATGTGTAGCAGGTTTCTGTGCATCTTTTTTCTGGTGAGATAATCAGGTGTTAAAAGGTGCTGCCTATATCATTCATGCTGTTGAATTGATGAAAATTTGGTAGTCTGAGACTACGAACTTATTCTCAGATTCACAAGAGAGGATGCTGATAAACAGATGTCTCGTATTGTGCACGCAGTGTCTATTTTGGCTTGATCCGATGCTAATTAAACCTTGTATTGTCGGAATTATTTGGATCCTAATTCTGGTAATTGAAATTGGCTTTAGTATAGAAATGGGAAGTGCAGTTAATTGCGTGGAGATATTTTGTGAATGTTCATTGTAGATGAGAATACTTCAGTAGTACCAATTTCCGAAAGTATGTCCATAGATACTATGTACGCTCATAGCAGACGTACACGACAACAACAGCATTTTACTGCAATGAACTGCTTGGACAACAACAGTTGAAGTATGTCTGTATCTGCTATGAACATACACAATGTTCTCATCCATCAAACCTGAAACTAGTTGTCATTTTGACCAAAACTCTTAGTCAACCAACATTTGTTGTTCTCTAATGGACTAGAAATCGGTTACATCATTCCTAAAAAGCAACACCAAAATAGAAAGCAACATTGCTGTCATCCAAGGCAATGCTTTGTGCATACTTCAACATCGTCTGTATAGTAATTACTCTTATTGGTATGATCACAACTCTTATGCAAATCTTCTTTCTTTCAATCTCAGGACTTCAACTGGCAAGCTGTTGCATGTTTAGCACGTGCTTGGTCCTTTCCATCAATATTTTGTGCAGAGAGTTGAACTTTCGCTCGGTGTCACTCAGCTGATTTTCCGCCATTTGCACTCTCTGATCCAACATTTCCTTCTCGATCTTCAACTAGGAAATTATCGCTGTTGTCAAATGTGGAGTCGGGATCAATACAGATCAAAAGGTGCAATCAAGTCCCCTTTTGATTTGCCTACGCGTCACTCAAATAAGTGCTTATGTGGCATCATTAAATTACACTTTTCAATATCAATTTTGAACGTAATTGCAATTTTCGATAAAAGTTGAGGACTTAAATGAACCAATTTTAGTATTTGTTGTGCATTTTGATAAAGGTATAGGACTTAACGAAGCAATTGAAAGATTTAGGATTCAATAGCATTACACAAATAAGGTTTAGAATTTGAGATGCAATTTTTCTCAACAAACCGTAGATATAATAGACTCAAGACGAGACAATCTCATCCTCATATTAGCAATAATTCTGCAAACAAACCACATTAACATCGGGATGAAGCCATCCTCACGCAAGTCCTTTCCCTCGGGACAAGAATCCGATTGACTATAGATACAAAAATTTATTTTTGCGTATGGGATCACAGAGCAGGAATGAAGAATGACATTCATCATTCAGACATATTTAAGCCAAAAAGATTACACTGGCACTTTGCTTAAAAGTTGATAGTAACGAAGGATGGAATGTTGGACCCGGATGGATATAGAGCCGCCATGAGTCGGTGTTTCTTGCATGCAAGATCGATGATGAATCTGAGTCCAATCCAAATGAGCATTTTACTTGATGACTCACCGTTCCTACTCCTACCCGTTGGTCTGCTCCAGTTGGAGCGTACCAAAATAAAAGAGGATAAATGCAATGCTTTTACTTATGTAAAGGGCAGAAAAAGATTGAATAATTTGGAAAATGACAAAAAATAAAATAATGGACGCTGGTTGAGAAAAAAACGAAGGCCATAAAGAAATTGGGGCTAAAAGAGAAGGGGGGGGGGGGGAGGGGGGGGTATCCATGAAAGGGGCGAAAAGCGAGGTTTTGGGGCAGTGCGTGTTAAGTGGGTGCTGCTGACTGCCGAGAGTGATACACACAGCCTCTCTGGGGGGCACTGGAGGGAGGAGGAGGAGGAGGAGGAGGAGGCAGCTGTTCGAGAGAGAGAGAGAGAGAGAGGCGAGAAACCCTACTCCTTCTTCCATCTCTCCAATTCTCGGGGACCCAGAAGATCTCCAAGCTTCCTCTCTGTACCCATCTTGGGAGGGGGGTTTCCATTCCCTGCTGATTCACGATGGTCCGTACTTCTTGTCCCCGCACTGTCGCTGACCTCCCTTCTGCTTTTCTTGTTTCCTCGAAAAGCTGATGTTGTTGCTGTTCTTCTTCCTTTTCTTTTATGTTGGATCATCGGAAACTCGAAATCTTTCATTGCTTTGGAATTGTAGGTCCGCTGGTCGAGCTATTCGCTTACTTCAATTTTCTCTTCTTTGGGCACAATTTATGCCCAGTTCAGTTGTTAGACTGCGCTATCGGTTGATATGCTACTTTAGCTAGATTGATCTTTAAACAATTTCTGTTCCCGGTGAATCTTGTTACACTTTCTTGGACCCATCTTTGTTGAGCCGCATAGAGTTATGACGAAGAGACAGTATGCTCCTTTCCGTGGAATATCCATGTTCCATCTTTCGCTCATCTCATGCCTAATTCATTCCTTCCGATTTTGCAGCACAAATTGGGACGGAGCAACCGTGACAAAGTGCAGCAGTTCATGGCAATAACTGGAGCCAGGTAACCCTTCAATCCTCCCGATGAAACTATATTCTCATGGAAGAGCAGGGCATGAGGATTGGCCTCGTGGGGCCTTAGATTAAACTTTTTACTGCAATTTCGGTGCTGTTGGAAACGAATGAAAGGAGAATTCTGTTAAGGTTCTCAAGAAAGCTGTTTTTTGCTCGAATTTTGGACTGGATATACATCTTTTTCTATTCCTTTTTGCTTTGGCTTCCTTTGTTGGCTTGTGATCTTATCCTGGGATAGATTGCACCTTTTGGTTTTGGGGTAATATAAGCAAAGCCTTTTAAGGAACATGTGCACACATTTTTGGTGTGTTGATGACAAACATAACTGAGGCTGCATTCGTTTCGCGGAAAATCGGTGATTTGGAAAACATTTTCCAAAAAATGATCGCTTATATTGTATAGAAAATTGAGTCAACGGAAAATATTTTCATCATCGATAACAATCTATGCCTAATTATTTTCGTGGGTAATGAAAAAAAATTTCCATTCATTTATTTTTTTAAGCAATGCAAGCGATTATTTTTCGAAAAATATTTTCCAAATCACTCATTTTCCGCGAAATGAACGTACCCTAAAAGTTGAACTGACAAGTGTAGCATGAAGGTGCATTTGTGAAACCCTTCCCCTTTTTGTTCTATAATGGTTGGTTTTTTGGGGATATTAATGTAATTTGTTGACTATCCAATTCTGTAGCGGCTGACTCCTGACATGCTCGGTTTCCATTTAATTTTGTTACTTATTCCATGATGAATGAGCTGGTGCTCTTTCTGAGGAATTATGTAGATCTTCTGGTTTTCAGGATGATTGTTTCTCTATTTTCTTTTCCCTCCAGGCTGCAACTGTTCTTTAGATACAAAATTTTTTGTTTCCTTGCAGTGAAAAAGTTGCCCTTCAGGCTTTGAAGGCCAGTGATTGGCATCTTGAAGGTGCTTTTGATGTATTTTACAGTCAACCCCATATAAGAACTTATACTGATACAAGACACTTGGAGGAGCTTTACCACAGATATAAAGGCAAGGCTTGATCCTGGATTCGTGGATCTTCGCAGTTCCGTTTTTTTTTTTTTTTTTTTGGGGGGGGGGGGGGGGGTGGTCTAGGACGGAATTTCTTCTTATGCAGATTAACAGGAGTTACAGGACAATGATACTTCTTTTGGATTTGTTACTAGTTCTGTAGTTCTGTACAGTGTCATAAGTTTGGTTATTCAACTTTGAAAAGAAAGATTATGTAATGGAGTTATAACACCTTGGAGATTATTGTTTTACGCTATCTTATTAGCAGATGTATTTGAATTTGCAGATTCCTATGCTGATATGATACTTGTCGATGGGATTACTCTTCTTTGCAATGATCTTCAGGTGGCCAGTCGTGATTCTTTCAGTTACAATCTAAATTATATGGCACCAGTACCTTGAATTTCCAGAATGCATCTTGAGTTTTCTTTCAACCATTTTCTTTCGTCTTCCTAGGATGTTTAGGAACGTTTACCTTGTCGTGTATGTTTCCTAGTTAAATGACGCACAAGTATCTTATTTTGCAGGTGGATCCCCAAGATATTGTTATGGTAAGTGAACAAGCATAATCGTACTGGTACGCTGTCATAGGACGAGGATACTCAATTTATTGTTTACATGAACTTTATGGTACAAAAAATGCACTGCTGTGACTGCTTTGCTTGACCTTACTGTTTGAAGGCTGTGACGAAGACGAAGATTGTGTACTTTCCATGTTTCATCTCTTTCTACCGTTTTATCTTCCTCAATTTTCTGGTTAATATCTTTCGGTTTTGGTAGGAAAATCTCCTAAAGATTTTAGTCCAACATTCCATTAGTCAGCTAGAAGACTTTATTAGTTAGAAATACACCATTGAACCTCAGTGGACTAAAACAATAGGAATTCATGTATCAAGTAGGAATTGCTGTTTCTGCTCCATGTAAGTGATTGCCATTTTGTTCTACATATAAAGTTTGTTTTTGGTCGGGGAAACTCAAGGTTGTGTCAAGGTACTTTAGCATGGTTGCAACCTAAGAAAGTTTGTTGGTAAAGGTTATTCATAAATAAAGCTAACAATCAAGTTTCAGCCATACTTGTATTTTTATTCTATTCTAGAGACTGCATCATGTGTATTATGGTCTTGGTTGGGATTTTTCTAATGATTAGATTGATTTGTATCAGCTGGTTCTTTCATGGCACATGAAGGCTGCAACCATGTGTGAATTTTCGAAGCAGGAGTTCATAAGTGGACTGCAGGCACTTGGGTAGTTCTCCTTGTCTTTTCTTTTTTCTGCTTTTCCTGATACCAGTGTTCGCGCTGTTTGCCCTCATGCATTATTCTGAAGGCTGATCTTTCTTGGCAGAATAGATACCCTGGAGAAATTCCGTGAAAGGATACAATATATGCGCTCTGAGTTGAAAGATGAACGTATGCAATTAAGTGAAATTATTACCATTGTTTGATTAATAAGTGTGACACTTGCTTGGCAAACCTCTTTTGTTTTATCTCTGATTATATTTTTTTTTTACTGAACAGAAAAGTTCCGGGAAATATATAACTTTGCTTTTGGTTGGGCAAAAGAAAAGGTATGCATCTTAATAGTGATATTAGACTGTAAGTTTTCCCTTCCGAGCTATAAAATGCTTGATCAGCTTCAGGATAAGATTGCTACTGATTAAGTTGGCTTTGAACATTGGTGGTAAAATACGCAACAGCTCAGATTCTCATATTTTATCAATGTGTTTGATTCAATTTTGTGGATTATTATGGCAGCTTAAGAGCAACATTCTTAGAATCTTTTTTGTACATCATGTAGCACCTCGACTTTTGCAAACCTAGGGTCAGGTTGTAGCACCTAAGGTTCCTAGAATCATCTCTAGTAAGGGCGGGTGATCTACTAAAATGATTAGTTACTTTGTCGATTAAAGATACCTGACGTTTTTACATAATTTCAATTTCTAGTCAAAGTTGGGTAAAATTCCCAATCAACCTTTTGACGTTTAAATCTGAAGGGGAAAATCTGATGGTTCAACAGATTAATAAATGTCATATCATGGTAAAAACTTGCTATTATGTGGTATTCTATAGGATATAATTTACACTTTCAATCTCCTAAAAGAATTTGACTTGCATCTGTAGAGAGTACCTTCATGCTGGATCTTTTACATTGAACCTGAATATGTTTCATACCTTTTTCATATCCATCTCTGATTACTTTTCTCCGTGGACCTTCCACGAGCACCTTCACTTCAGTTCTGTTAGTCATGTCATCTCCGCTTACCTCAGGGTCAGAAATCCTTGGCACTTGATACAGCAATCGGGATGTGGCAATTACTTTTTGCTGAAAAGCAATGGCCATTAGTTGATCACTGGTGTCAGTTTTTACAGGTAGTTTTTTTTTGTGTACTTATTGAGCATAATAATTTGTTTGAGTTGTTAAGTATTAGTCCTCACTTCTGAGTATGGCCATTCTGGTTAGAAAAAGGGTCTGACATAAAGGTTATAAGCTGAACTCTTCGAAGCTTTAAGATGTCCCAATTCAAAATTATTCACTTAAGTTTGGCCTAAATGTCAAAACCTGAAGCCAAACCCACCTCAAGCACACACATGCCCATCTAAAGGAATTCTAGCATAACCCCTTTACCCGGAAAAGGGGAAGTTATGATACTGTCCACTTTACCTTGGCTAAACTACCGGACACACTTTCTGCAAAAATTTTCGGGTATATTTGGCTCTCGAAATATTTTCGGTTTTTTACTTTTTATTTCATTCAAAATAGCCTATCTATATCAAACCCCCCCAAAAAAAAGACAAAAATATAGTAATAAGCGAATTGCTCAGAAACACATTTGGTGGGGCTTTCAATTTCCAAGTAATTTAACATTTTTCTGGGAAGAAAGGCAATTTTGTCATTTTTCAACTTGAATGAAATGAGAAGAAAAGCAACTTCGGTAAAGAATTTCCCATGCTTTGTGAACCAAAATGCAAGAAAGAACTATGAGGATTTGACATCAAATGCAGGTCCAAAAAAGTGGAGAGCTGAAAATGAGAAGGGGTTTTGGGAAAATTGAAGGACTTCTTTAAGACCAGATGCACTTCTAATAATTGGAAGTTTGGAGCCTCTAGACTTTCTGTATTTGTTTCCCTTCTTAATATGATTGATTAGACACTTAGCAACATCTTCCTTCTAATAATTGGGATGAATTTACACTGCAAGGCACATAGAAGCGAGTTGAACTATTTTTGCAGGAGGGAATTTGTTTTCGAAATGAATTCTTGTATTTGGGCCAATAAATAAACAGAAGAAAAGAATAGTTTGTTTGAATACTGTAAAATAAATAGAGTAGACAAAATTGATAGTTAAATAAACTGGGAAGATGGTGAATAGAGGATGTTCTTTTCATCTAGAGGTCTCAGCTTAGTTATGAAGGGACGGATGGTGTCACTTATGTTGGTTCTGATCCCTTGTAAATCCTATGTTACTTTGCACTGTAGCTACACTGTTTTGGTTGAATACAAAAGTAGGGACATCTCATACAAAGTTACCTTTTTCAGAATGCAGCAACTAGTTATCTCATCCTATTTCAGAAACATGATTAGAAAATGTGAGCTTGTCTTGACATATAATGGTTGTTGAATGGGATTCTGTATTGTCTTTCTCTTATTCAACACAGGCCCGTCATAATAAGGCAATCTCCAGGGACACATGGTCTCAACTATTGGAGTTCGCCAGGGTAAGATATCATCAAAGAAATTATTCTTTTATGATTGTATATCCTCTTCCATATACGTATATCTTTGATGGACTAGGTCATGTGAAATTGATGTAGAAGTCTTGTAGCAGTTATAAGGAGATGATCTTCGCTCTTAGCACAGTCAGTTTACATCCTTGCTTTCGTCCCTCTCTTCTTGCCGGAGAACTGGTTGTTATTTATGCTGGTGTTGGGATCTAGAAGGTCTGAAGTTACTTTTGACTTTTGAGTGTGTAGTCTCAGTGAGCAAAAATTCCACATATCTGAGATAAACCTTTGGCGAGAATGGAAACTTTCAACCAATAGATAATGTGAAAAATTCCCCACGAATTTTTACCTAGCCAGAGAATGCATTTGTTATCTGCACAGGCATCTTAAAATCTGGAACTTTCCCAGAGATGCAACTGACAGACACCCTTCTGTTATGCAGACTGTGGACCCAACCCTTTCTAATTATGATGCTGAAGGTGCTTGGCCGTATCTTATTGATGAATTCGTTGAATACCTGAATGAAAATAACATTGTCCAGACGAGTCACATGGACGATCCTGCCCGGCGATGATGGGCTGCTGTGGTGCCGACTGTGCGATTGGTTGATCTTTAATCTTCTTGTGGATTGAGCTATGTCAGATTGTGATTGAATACTTTATATAGCCAACCGGAGCCCCTCTCTCCATTTCTCCTCTCCTGCTACAGTCTCCCTCTTCACCCAACACAAAGTAGTTAAAAAGAGAGGAAGAGAGATGAAAGACCTCACTTCCTGAAAGAGTGACTTATTTTCCTTGGAAACCCATTTGATGAAAATTCATACATTAGTAGTGATGGAAGATGTGATATGGGAGATTTGATATTGTCCAATTTTTTTGTGAGATAAATGTGAATTATGACTGGCGCTTGTTATGTTTCAAATTTCTCGGTAGAACCAATGCAGGAGGCATGCGCATAGCTATCCTTTGTCAAGAAATAACATTATTTTGTTAATCACTGTAGCCTCGAGTTCTCAAGATAGGGCTGTCGTTTGTTAACTGGGCTTGCTAAAAAGAAAATCATTGAGGTGTCCAACGAGAAGATACTAGTGAATGGCTGGTAATCAGTCAGAACCGAACCACAGGATTGTTGAAGTAACTTCTTGATGACAACAGGCCCGAGAGGACCGAGGGGGTCCATGCTCTTATACAGCATGGATGGGGGAGCTGTGGTTTCGAGCTGCTTGTATCTCTGTTTCGCATCTCCTTTAAGATATCTTCTTCAATCAGTATGTGTTGTGCACCTCTCAATGCCATAAGAGTTAGCAACTTGGGTACTCTTCATAAATTTGAATTATTTCACAACAAGCACTAGTCTATGCATTTGTGAAGCTAAAAGTGATTTGCCGAAATGGTAGTAAAAGAATACAAGCAAGCATCACTGACACCCGCCCTGATGAAGTTACACGAGTGGAACTGCAAATTGTCGTTAATTGCACTGTTAACCGTTCATACAAGTTTAATAATGAGGAAGGAAAGCAGACTATTCTTTCTTTCAGGTTCTGCAAGTAACTGAGTTTTGCACGCATTAATCTTTACGGGATATGAAGCAGGTCTAATGAAAGAGGTGATACGACATGCAATGCGATCCATGCCATAATCCCACGGCCGACAATCTCTATTGAAGTGAAGGATCAGTTGAATTAACAAAATAGCATTATAACGCCACTTTGAATGGTGGCCTAGCCGTCAACAATCATCTGCTTTGTGAGTTCTTCAGCTAATCAACAACTCGTATTCCGTCAGACAGTTTAATGTTCAATGAGCAAATGAGGGGACGTGAACAGGGCATTACTCGTACTCATCAAGAGTGGGATATCTGTCACTAGTCACGCGTGAGTTGGGTCAACACCTTTGATGATCATATCTCCAAAAGCCTTAGTCTACTGCTGGGGCTGGCCTTAAAATATGATCACTAAGAAGTTAGTATAAGGTCAACTCTTATTTTTCTGTTTTATGCCCATTGTCCACCATAGAGTGTTGCCATCAACAGCCTCAGAAAATCAATGAGATTCTTAAGCAGAGAGAGAAATGGTTAGTCCTCCTTCCTAACGGGTCCGGAAGTTGGAGCAACCCGAGTCATTTGGATTCATTCAGCAGTACTCAGGCATCCAGTTTTTGGCAGGTCCCTCTGCCAGTTGTACGGATTTTTCCCTTCTCTCTCCGTCCTATCCACAAGGAAAAGGAACTGGTGCACGGGTGAAAATATAGGCATATGCTCAAGCACTTTCATTCACTCACTGATGTAATAGACACAAGCTCATGAGACTCGCCAATTTAGATGACTCATCCATTGGTACATACAACTGCTGAGAATTTCAAGTCCTGGCCATATGACTATTCACGTCAAAAGAAAACATTTCCTACAGAAATTGCTTTTTTTTCTACAAGAATTTATTCCAACTTGAATAAAGGTAGGTCGCCCAAAAAATAATTTAACCTCAGGTTAATCTCACACAGGAACTGGAGTGGCTTCGTCTAGGGCAACAACACCAGGAAGTTCTTTGCCTTCCAACAACTCCAAACTGGCACCACCACCGGTAGATATGTGGCTCATCACATCAGCAACTCCAACTTTCTCCACAGCTGCAACAGAGTCCCCTCCTCCAATAATGGTCGTCACTCCTGCAGCACTGAGCTCTGCTAGCTTCTTTGCAATAGCCTGCACATGGAAGTACAAGGTCATCAAAATTTGCATTGGTCCTAGTTAACCATGCTGGCCATAGGCCGAACCCACGTACAAAATCAAAACATATCCTCAAAATGAAAGAATTAAACACTCGAGGTTCATCAAATGAGAAGCTCCCTTGAAGTCTTAACTGCTTGTCCACAACTCATTCAAAACCAATGACATGCACAACCTCGGTACGAAGGGAATAGAGAGTCCATGCTAAGCTTAACAAGACTGAACACACGTACAGATAATAGAGCCGTAAGCCAGGACAGATGATTTCCAGAGCTGATGAATAAGCAAAGAGTCGAGGAACTAACAAATCAAATCCATGCACATCTCACCTCAGTTCCAGCGGCAAATTTTGCAAACTCAAACACTCCCATGGGTCCATTCCAGATGACAGTTTTGGTAGTTCCCAGAGCTTCATTAAATGTCTTAATAGAGTCAGGTCCAATATCCAATCCCATCCAGCCATCAGGAATACCAGATGCTGGCACAATCTGCAATGTTCGAAGCAGTTGAAAATAACATAAGTTCGTGACCACAGTGCCTACTCACATGATATCTGCATTTTAACATAGTGTTGAAACTCATTTGCACATATCGTGACACACATTTTTAAATGTGAGAAGGCTAGGAGAAAAACCGAAGCAGCTAACCTTGCTGTTTGCATCTGGAGCAAACTTGTCTGCAATAACCACATCAGTGGGTAACAATAGAGAAACTCCCTTTGCTTTGGCCTTTTCAAGGAGCGATGTTGCAAGATCCAGCTTATCTTCCTCCACCAAGGAAGAACCAACAGAGAGACCTTGTGCCTTGTAGAAGGTGAAGATCATGCCACCACCCAAAAGAAGGATGTCGCACTTCTCTAGAAGAGATTCAATCACACCAATCTTGGATGAGACTTTTGAGCCACCCACAATGGCAGCAAATGGTCTCTTGGGGGTAGACACAGCCCCAACAAGATAGTCTAGCTCCTGGTGAAAGAAAAGGCAAGTTGAAGGTCCATACTAAAGAACTAAGTAACAAAAAGCAAAGGATAAATTAAGATGCCTAAGAAGACTCAAAGCCTACGGACATACCAAAACAAGATCTTGCTAAAGTGTGAAGAACAATTATCTTGATGTACATAACTCAAGTTTAGTTTAGTTCCGCAAGCATTATTTCAAGGAACCAACCACTCATAATGATAAAAATTAAGAACCAGCATTTTCCATGCATAACGTTTAAAAGAGAAAAACAAGAATGAAACCACACATGCAAAAGTCCAAGAAAGAGATAAACCAATACCTTCCGCAGACTATAATATCAGTTCTTGTGAAGAACTAGGTCAATGGATGAAACTCAGCAAATAATTACTATTACTTAAAAGTCAAACCTTCTGCAAAAGGAAGCCAGCAACGGAGGGCTTCAAAAACTTAGTAACCCCCTCAGTAGAAGCATGAGCCCTGTGTGCTGTTCCAAATGCATCATTTACATACAGATCTGCCAATGACGCCAGCTTCTTGGCAAACTCAGGTTCGTTCTTTTCTTCCTCTTTGTAAAATCTCACATTCTCAAGAAGAAGAACACCGCCGTCAGGCAGTGAAGCCACCAACTTTTCTACCTCAGGGCCAATGCAGTCATCTGCTTTTATGACCTGCTCAAGTGAGGATAATTACCAAGAAAACGGTCATTTATTTATCCAATTAGCAGAATTTTCCAACAGTGCTGTCCAACCACTTTTGTGTACGACAAAGATGTCCTTACCTGAATGCCAAGGAGTTCGGATAGCCTCGGAACAAGAGGTGCCAAACTGTACTTTGGTGTCACCCCTTTTGGTCGGCCCTGGAAATTTCAAGGAGAAAAATTAACTACCACTGGTACAATCAACATCAAAGTTGGTAGCTCGCATTCACAGAACTGATATGAAGCGGGAATCCCTTTAGCTTACACCCGGAATCAAGTCACCAGTTTAAGATTAGCAAGCAATCGCTGTGAAGATGCCGTCTGAAAACATCCATTCTAGAACTAATCACGAATATGTCACATAAGAGTTCTTCGAAAATTAATTAAATTTATTTATTTATTTATTTTGCGGAGGAAGAGTTTTATGACATAGTAAATGCCAATCCCAGTGGGAAGAGAGAGATCTGCATATTGAGGAATGCTAACGAATGGTGTTCAGGAAACCAATACGATGGTAACTCGAGGAGACTCCAGCAATCAGAATACATGACAGACGATGGCAAACATCTGCAGACTCGTGCTTCGCAATTAGAAGTAAAGAAAAAGATTCGAGCAGCTGGTAAAGATTTCCGAGAAAGTGAGGAGCAAAATGAGGAAAAGTCAACGACAATTCAATGCAGAGAGAATTAACATTGACCCACAAACGGAAACAAGGAGAGAATCATCGTCGAGAAGGGGCGGCGAGGGTAAATGCTCGATCAATTACCAAGTGGCTGGAGAGGATGACTTTGGCGCCATTTTGGATCAAGTGCTTGATGGTGGGGATGGCGGCGCGGACCCTGGTGTCGTCAGTGATGTTCTGGTTGTCGTCGAGGGGCACATTAAGATCGACCCTCACGAACACCTTCTTCCCCTTCAAGGCAGGGCCGGTCAAGTCGCCCACGCTCTTCTTGGCCATTGACACCACCCCTCTGCTTCCCTTCCCGCTCAAAGATCGGAGCTTGGAAGCGACATGAGCAGCCAAGAATGGGTCGGCAGCGGCGAAGCCCAGGCGGCGGAGGCCGGGGGAGCGGAGGCCCGAGGTGGGGAGGCGGAGGAGAGCGGAGCGAGAGGCGGAGGACGATGAGGACGAGGACGAGGACGAGGACGAGGAGAGGAGAGAAAAGGTCGTGGGTGCAGCCGCCGACGCCATTTTACTTGCCTTGACCTGTTTGGAGAAAAAAACCGGAAAACTGTCGCCTAGCCAACGATCGATGCGTGTGGGTGAGTGGGGCTTATATGGTGAGGGGAGGACTAAAGATGGAGGAGGAGGAGGGGGAGGGTGGAAAGATGTGGACGTGAGGATCGAAGTAGGAAATGAGTGGGAGATTTTTCTGGATGTCTCTTATCGTCGAGGAGAGGTCCGAGATTTTCGATGACTTTGAGACTGCCAAATCAGACCAATACAAGGCCGTGACATCAGACGTTGGCCAAAAGCGAGTTAAATCATTACCCTGTACTGATTATGATGCGCATCATGAGAGGAATGTAATTACACCCCATCGAACTATGCAATTCATAAATTTATTATGAGTTGGGATTAGTTGATTCAATTTCCCCCTTCTAGCCATTCATTTGACTCCCTCCCATCCTTGTCTGCTGTTTAGATCCGGCAATAGCATCACCGCAATGTATAAAACAGAGCAAGATCAAAGAATCGACCCCAACCCACGATGCTCCCACCTCCAACAAATCGATGCAAAATGCGTAGATTGTTCTTTCTCCGTCAGAAACCAGCGATGCACCGCTCCACTGCCCACCACCCAAGTATCTGGTCTTGCACTTGGCCCAACATGAAGACCCAACCAAGTTTGGTGCAGCCCATGAGGCAGCTTGGCCTCATTCTGGATGAGTCGAAACGATCCAGCAACTGCTATAGCCGAATACGCAATCCCTCCGATGCTTCCAACTTGACGACTGCACAGTGCGTTTGGCAACACATTTGCAAAGCCTTTTGGGCAAATTGAAATGTTTTTGACAAATATTTCGTGGAGCTTATTTGGGAAATGCTAGCATTTTCAAGTCTCCTTTCCGAGGGCCTTTAGCTCAAAGCCGTCTCATACACCCATTTTGAAATGCTAGCATTTTCAGGGATGCTAGACTTGGGTTCAATGGAAATTTGCAATTCCCCGTGTCAACTCTCGCTCACTCACTCATAATTGTCAATTTACCCCTTTTTAAAAAAACAAGAGGCTCTGGACAACTGTCAGCGGCACCAAAATCACGTGTGGAAGGAACGCAGGCAAAAGGTTGTTTAAAAAAGTTATTAAAAGAGGACGAAACCATAAAGATTTTTTGTGCAGACGAGAAATTCGTCGTCGAAGTCAGGATGGCGCTCTGTGCCTCCTCTCTTCGCCTCCAAACAATCCCTGCATCGCATTTTCTGTCGTCGCGACCCTTTTCTTCACGCCCACTTATGCGATCGGATCGTGTGAAAGCAGGGCCTCCTGCTTCGAGAGCTCTCCGAGAATGGCGGGAGTACGAAGAGGCGGTGAAGCGCAAGGACCTTGCTTCTGCTCTCCGGTTCTTGAAGTCCCAATCTGTCCCCGGCGTTGTTAATGAGGACGAGGGTGACGAGGTGGGGATGTACCTGTTTGGGAAATCGGAGGAGAGGGATTGGGAGGTCCTGGATGCGTGCTTGAACGCGGACGACATGAAGCTCGTCACCAGTGCTTATGCCCTCCTCAAGGACCGGGGTTTCTTGCCCAATTTCGGCAAATTCCGGAGCATCGGTGAAATTTCTCATCCTTCCCTCGATTATTCGAGCTGATCGTTCGTCGTTCCACTCCTACGCTGACGTTATGAAAGCGCTCACCTTTTCCTTCTCGCCCCTCTTTGCAGTTCTGGAGGGACCGAGGGACGTTACACCCACAGTACTCAAGTCTTCCACCGGCTTGGAAGGTAAAAGAGCATTCCTTCTTCTGAGTTTCAATTCCTAATTCTTTTTCTCCAATGCAAATTTGCTTTATCTTGGTGCCATCTCTCGTCTCCTATGCCTGTCTACTCGACGATTTGCTTTGATGATCGTACTACATTATGGTTTTTTGCTTAATTCATGCTCCTGAGTCGTTTCCCCCCCTTTTATGTAGTCACTAGATTTTCCCCGAAGAAGTGGGGTCTTGATGGAACCTCGAGTGCACTCTTGGTGGCTTTTCTCGGCGGAGTTTCCTTTCTTCTCTCCCAAGGGATTGATATTAGACCTAAACTGGCGGTGATACTGGGACTAGCTTTTGTGGACTCGGTGTTCCTCGGCGGTTCTTGTTTAGCTCAAATTTCAAGCTATTGGCCTCCATATCGCCGACGAATCCTTGTCCACGAAGCTGGCCATCTCCTTACAGGCATGCCAAGACACTTCATTTCTTCACCACTAATTATTTGGATTTCTTCACCACTAATTATTTGTAGCACAATGCAAAGAGTTTCCCAGCAGAGCTGATCACCTCTTTGTTTGTCGCCTTATCATTTCGGAGCATCTCTATTTGAAGCATGGGGTTAATGAAATGATATATTTCGAATGTGCAGCATACCTGATGGGTTGCCCAATACGCGGCGTAATTTTGGATCCGATCGTTGCAATGCAAATGGGCATTCAGGGACAGGTACTGCTAGTCTTATTCGTGCTTGCTTAGTGGGCATGTGTCTCCAATTCCTTAAGTTATGCATGAGAACGTGATGGACATTGGGGGAATAAGTCATGATGATTAATTTCTCTGGAAGGGTGTTCTCTGTCACTGGATTCTGGGAGCACTATAGTCCACAAATTCAGAAGAAAATAAATCTAATTTGATGGTGCTGATGTTCGATGACTATGTTATTGTGACTTTTCTAAGAAGTTTGCTTCTTGACAACTTTAAGCTCTCCCTACTTGCATTGCTATCATACTTTTAACTCAACCAGCATCAATAACTCGGATGAAGGATTCTATGCTAAAAATTTATACAGGCAGGGACGCAGTTTTGGGATGACAAGATGGACAAAGAACTTGCTGAGGGGCGGCTCAGCGGCACTGCCTTTGATAGGTTGGCATCGTCCGAATATTTTTCTAGATCTCCATACCAAAGAAGATTTCAGCTAACAATCTTGAGTCTTAACTGTCAATAAAAGCTAGTCCTTCCCTTTTTGCTAACAATCTTTAGTGTCAGCAAAACGCTAGTTTATATGATTTGAGCAGATACTGAAAATGATGCTGTACTTTGTTTCGCTTCTGTTTAATTGCATTCCCAATAGTCCAAGGCTAACTGTAAGATTAATCAGTTATGCAATTGATGTGTTTTGACAGGTATTCCATGGTGCTTTTTGCTGGCATCGCTGCTGAAGCTCTTATCTATGGTGATGCCGAGGGTGGAGAAAATGATGAGAATATGTTTAGGAGCCTGTGTGTCCTATTGGAACCCCCGTTGTCAGTTGCACAGGTACTTCTTGAATGAACAGACTCGCTTTCATTAAAGGCCTACTGTAATTTTTCAGTCACTGAAATGCTTCATTGTCTCCAACGACTTAAATAGATGTCAAATCAGGCCAGATGGGCGGTTCTGCAGTCTTATAATCTGCTCAAATGGCAGAAACAAGCCCATAGAGCTGCTGTGAATGCTCTGGAGAATGGCTTCAGTCTTAGCATGGTAATCAGGCAAATTGAGGAAGCAATGTCTTCTCAGAAATGAAAATAAGGCTGTGGAGATGAGTGCATTGACTTGTGGTTCTGTCTCGTCAACTCATGTGGGCACCCTAAGATATCGACGATTGCCTTCCTTGATGGGCCCATTGATGCCCACTGTCTCAGTGATAAGCCTGAGAGTCTTAAATGCCGACACATGATGGGCATGCCAAAAACCTTCATCATTGAAAATGCATATGTTGGCTCAAGGATGAAAGCCAGTCTGACAGGGAGATGAAGAGATGCGATTTTGTTCAGTCAAAGCCTTAAGGAGCAACTCTGCTTTGTGGAACTGACCACAGGTTCCTTGGGTTGCTTAACTGATGACATGGATTTTGCACACTCAAAAGACGAAGCTGCATAAGCCTCTAAATTTGTTCGTTGGACTGGAAAGTGTCTAGAGTTGGTTTCTTGTTAGCTGGAAACCACCTTGGATTGTACTAAAAATTTGGTTGGAGAAGAGGCTGGTGCACTTTGTACATAACCTCCTTCCAGCAGTACTTTCATTTTATATAAACCTTGACAGTTTTCTTGTTTGTCTAATGAGTTCAAAACTTCTGGTATTTTAAGGTCATGGGACATTGTCAAAGATAAATTGCAAGTGAATGTCGAGATGCTTAATTCTCTTATGCATAAATCGTAAGTCATGGGGCTTGATAGAGAATTGTGCATGATCCTAGGCACTAAGCATGAATCAGAATCAGGTGTGGTCTACCATATAAAAGATATGGACTGAAGTAAAAATGGAAAAACTGGGCTCTTGCAAGTAAAATGCACTCCTTAGTGCATCTCATTAAGGATGTGAAGTCAATGAACAGATTTGCCAGAAACAATAATCTGTCATTTTGGAAAAAGCATACGAATCATACGCCTAGCATATGATTACTGTGATAGTCGTAACTAAATGCCTTCAACTATGATCCTTCTCAGAAGAAACTTCTACTTAATGACATGGAGGTCGGCATAGAGTTGTTAAAATATGTGAAGTATCCGATTTGCTTTAGTTGTTAATTCGGAAATGATTAGAGACATTCATTACATGATAACCAGACATAAGGTTTTGATACCTAATATTCAATTCATTTCTTGTGATCTTGATAGACAATCGCTATTTTTTAGTTTGTTTCCGTCCCTTGCCCGATCCTGTTCAGTTGAAATGCTTCAAGAACAAAGTTGTCGCATCCACTCTTTTCTGGAACCGTTCACTAGGGCCTCATTCAAGCATTGCAAAGGAAGTATAATGTGCGGTTAAAACAACCTCACGCCAAAGATATTAATGTAGGAGCTATTACAAAATCCAAACAAGTTACAATCGCATCAAATTTCAGTACTCTGCAATCCGAGACAATTGCTACCTCTCAATTACATGCAAAGGAACTCCATTAATACTAAGAAGCTGCGATAGAAATTGCATGACCCCAAGTCAAGAATTCGTCTGCTGATCGTCTTGAGTTTGCTGAGATTGAGCATGTGGCCATGGCACGAAAGACACCAGCGGTCGAGGCTGCTGGGCAGCATAAAGTGCTGCTTGATCAGCAGGCTTTGCCATGATCATACCTGGGTGTCCCATGGGGTGTTGTGGTGGGACATAATAATATGGAATATCAGCCGGAGAGCCAACCACAGGAATGGTAGCTTTAGTAACTCCTAGCCCTTCCTCCTTTAACTCATCTCTTGGAATTATGTCGACCAAGAAATCAAACACATCCGTCCTGGAGATGGCAGCTGCTATATCGTTCTTTTGCAGTGTCCTCCGTTTGTTTTCTTCTGTGTGAATCCAAGAACGCAAAGTCAGCTCCAAGATGAACATCTCACAAGCTTTTGCAAATATGACTGGAGCCTCAGCAGAGATCATTCGTACATCTTCATCAGCTTTCATTATTTTCTTGATTCTGGCAAGCGGAAGGCTGTGATTCTTGAAGTCCTGAGTTTGCTCAATTTCTTGCATCTGACCCGCCCAGAACATTTGAAGCTGTTGCTGCTGCTGCTGATGCTGTTGGTGATGGAAGTGTTGGGCTTGTTGGTATGCAAGCTGATGAGGAGAGCCAGGGAAAGTACTGGGTGCCTGAGTCGGCGAAGGTATTGTTACAGCAGGAGTGCCAGAAGCGACTACTGGAGCAGTTGGAAATGGAGGGGCGTATGCCATTTGGTTTGTGCCAGCCACAACCCCGACTACTTGCTGCTGCTGCTGCTGTGTTTGTTCTGTCTGATCCATGACAAGAATAGTTTATATCTCTAACTGTCACTCCGAGTGCCCTATCATCAATAGCTGTAAGGGAGACCAAAAAACAAATCAGAACATCCTGTCTGAATCTTTTCAATAGCGCATTACAGTAAGCAAAAGGCCCATTGCATAGCAACTATTGAAACCTTCCTCACAATTTCATGCCTTACTATTGCTGAACCAGTCACAGGGTAACTGGAGTTGCTGATCCTTTGACTAATGCATGCACGAAGTGGTCAATACTTGTTATCCTAACAGAGAAACTGAAATAACTTTGATCCACAAGGCAAGCATCACCATTTAGATCTTTGGAATGCATGCTATTTGTTCTTTTTCGAATATCAAGGCACCAAGAGATTTTGGTCAGGAAAGTGCGACTTTGCAGATGATTATCATTGTTCCAGTATTGATGTAATCTGTGCAGCTCCATGAGAAGTTAAGTGTGCATTACCAAATGAACATATGAATTAACAGCTACCTGCCGCATTACGGGTTCTCAACCAATTGACAGGGTAGAAATTCATAGTAGATTGGATGCAATGGTAGGAATTCATGGCAGATTTGGGATGTGATGTTACGCTAAGTGCACTCTATTTTACGGCTTGGCTATATGATGGCGAGAATATTGCGTACTTAGTGTATGCTTATACACAAGCAGTGGTATATGTACTAGGACAAAAGCTGTGATTTCCTTAAACTGTAGAATAACTAAGCAAAATGCAGGAAAAGCATACAAAATGCAAGAGCAGGAGACAAGCGAAATCAAAAGAGCAACTCAACTAGGCAAAAGGAGATTGAACAGAGGGGGATTCAATAACCTCCCCAAACCTAAAACTCATTCAAGTCCCTTCATTTATCGAAGTGTATGGTGTTGGACACGTGATTGACAAGCATCCGAAAATATAAAACCCATTTGAACCTGTCATTCCCCAAAAGGGAGAAAGGGGAACATGGAGAGACAGACACAAGAAAGTTTAAAAAAAAAACATTCGAAAATCAAGGACAGGAAACAGTTGAGTGACAATGGGTAGCAAGCTAACATCACCGGAAAGAAATTTAGCAGAGCTGGAGCTCCTGTACTCTTCAGTTGCATGAAACCCTAGAGTTCTTGTTTTTGAATAGCAACAGCAGTAGCTCTAAAAAGGGATTTCAGAGAGAGAGAGAGAGAGAGAGGTTTCCAGTAAGTGGGGTGAGGTGGGATGACAAATGTCCGGCAATGTCAAGCGTCTGACTTTTCGGGCTCCTGAAGATGCACACATGGCCGTCATCCATTGGACGAACATAAAATAAAGGGGCAGAGGAAAGAAACAAAACGACAGTGATGTAGGTGAGGCGTGAGTGCGGGGACAGGTGAAGTGAAGGCTGTATTTCGGTAAAACGGCAGGTGAAGAAGCGAAGGTGAGGAGTGAGTCTTCATATTTGCTATGGTCGTTCGTTCTTTGGGGCCATTTATTTTGTCACTCTCGTTTCCACTGGATTTACTTTGGCTTTGGGTGGATGTAGACTGAGAAGAGCATAAATTAGATCGGGTGTTCGCTCAACTTCCACCGTCTGGATCTCATCAAATGGATTGGACTTTGGACGACGAGCGTGTTTCGAACTCGAAAGTCCAACTCACTTTTTCAGGATAAATTCGCCATTGGAAAATGGGGAAGATGTCAAGTGTACCATAAAACATCTCAATTCCTCGGAGACAGATGACCAGCCTTGAAGAACAGACGCACGGGGTTTGTTAGCTCGTGAGGATCTCTAGTTGCTCCTTGATTTATTTTGTCGCAACTTGCTGATATAAGGAAGAAACTACTGCTATGATATCACGGACCATCGCCACCATTTGCTACGCATGAGCAATGACATTCCATCAGTCACTCAACTCAACCACTCTGTCTTCCCTCCTTATACGAACTTCATTTTCAAACAGCTGAAACTTTAAGTCTCACGAAAACAACAAAATCCTTCAGTAGTTCAGCTGTTGCTGTGCAATGTACCAGAAGTTGACAAGATGCTGGCATATAGGACTCTTGAATGAATTCCTAAACACAGTCCGCAGCAGCAATAAAAAGAAGAAAAGAACCCACCACATGCATAATGCACAGGAAATATGCTGTCCTCACCATTGTGACTGAATCTGATGATAGGAAACCCAACCAAAGCGAGTAAAACGTTGGGAAACTTAACCAAAGCATCTGAAAAGCATTGCACGAGAAAATACTACCACGAATTATGAATCAGCGTGCATATTTCAGAGACAGATTCACAAAAGCAGCATATACCATGAAAGAAACCACGATGTACAAGGTCAATGTTGATCTGTCTGACAGTTTCAACAAGGTCCCGCCCACTCCAAACATATGGAGCAGCTAATTCCCCCATTATACAAGCTATCTTCTCCAAGAACGTGCAATTGAATTTGAATAAATGAATTGTCTGTTTCGATGAATCATGACAAGAACAGATGAGTGCAAAAAAATACTGTTCCACCATCAATGATTGGCATCATTTGGATGCTTTCTGACCATGGGCTCTCCCGTGGCTTGCTGCTGCTGCTGCTGACAGGACACGTAAACGGGCAGCAATTTCTGTAAAGGATGGCCTAGCAGTCGGATTGGGTGCCCAACACTGTTCCATTAGCCTCCGCCATTCCTGATCACAGAAGCTTGGTATGGGCGGTCTCAACGTGTTACTTACTATGCCTCCTGCTTTGCCACATAAAATCATGAGGATACACCATATATTGTATATAGGATATAATCCGACATTTGAGCTGATAAAGAGAATACAGTGGAAAGATCCTACATACACATATACATACAACTATCTATCTATAGCAACGAAATTTCTCAGAAACAATCACCATCAGGCCATATTGAAAAAGATGCTTCAACCAAACACAGCACAAAAATTTCGAGGTTGATGAGAATGCATGATAACACACGTCATATCATAATCCAACACGAGTTTCTACAAATGACAAAATTAATCCTTAAAATTAATGCAATAAAGGCTGCAGGAAGGTCTCATAACTTAGTTTGGCCAATAAATAGGTCAGACCTTGATGCATCATCATGGTGGAGAAGGCACATTGAAGGAACACTTAAAACCATTGATAACATTTGACTAGAGCTGTAAAGTATTCAGTAGTATCAACAATACCAACAAAAACCGAGGCCCTAATATAGCAAGCGGAACCAATATACATGCAGCCAAAAATAGTGATAATGGTCTTGGTCTTCCACTTCTCAATCCAGATTTTTACTTAAAAGTTATGTTCCTAAACAGACAATGATAAATCCTCCTCAGTCTGTATTACGTGCTACCATACAGTGTTGCAATTCCAGGATTCTCTAGGTAATTATAAAATGAATGTAAGACATGCTTTTCAAAATGGTCAATAACCTTATCAATAACGATTTGACCGCCTTAAATATTTATAAACTATCTTCTACACTTTCACCGACATCAATATTTGCAGCAAATGAAAATTCTCAACCATAGTCGCTCAGACAGCCAACTTTCAACAGAATGTAAGAAACTGTAGTGGTCTAATTACCCATTTATTTCTGACTGATTAATTCATCCTGACAACATAAATTTCTTTGGCAATCAGTTCTTAGTGCGATATTTCTGCTTCTCTCCATCTTTGCCAATAAATCACAGTATTTGTACCAAATTGACAAGCTCACTTCATCAATATAGAGAATTAGCTTAAGCTAGATCAGTTTCATTTACTGATCAGTGACTGGACTGCATCATCATGAAACACAGAGAACAGAAGCACCGCTACCTCATTCACATTCCATCAAAGCTGCCCTCAAATGAATGGTAATTACAAGAAGTCATGAGAAGAGTACTGACACACACCTATAATTGCACCATAATGCATATTTGCATACGGTTCCTCCCCGGTGAGAATCTCCCACAAAACAATACCGAAGGAGAACACGTCCACCTGTAAATTAATAATCCACAATGATGAACAAAGCCCCTAGCAAGGACACAATTTTTACAGTACTCATTGAAGGAAATTGACGTCGTTGAGTGATGCTCATAGCTACTTAACTTTTATGTACAAAATAGCCTTTCCAATAAACTACCACCAAAAAGTAAAAATATACTGTAAAAATTGGACAAAATCAAACAACAAACAGCTAATTTATATGACAACAAGAAAAGGCCAATTGATGAAAGTTTAAACTGCAAATAGCACATTCTCAAAACATCCAACTTAGAGAATCATAAACACCCAAATCATCAAAGCTATGGATCATAGGATGGCAATAGGGATTGGGTGCACAACTTGCCAATAAAGATGAGAGTAGCTTTCTGCTAAGTTGGGTCATTGTAAACTAGCATTCTCATTCATGGTTGTTCATTGCAAATTATCAGAATAAGATAGCTTTTCAGCGGTACGTCTTCCACCTTTACTTATGGGTAGTATTTCTTCCACAATTACTGGTAAGTCGCAACATCAACCAGAATGTTAAAATGACATACTAGCATAGCTCATCCAAAGTTGAATTCAAGATAAATATTTCTTCTAAAATAAGATTGCCGTTTTAAATCTCTGCCACCATATCTCTTGATTGTGCGAGTACATGGTGGAAACAATTGGTCCCCCAAACTTCACAATCCGGCATACAAGCATACCCGAAATCAGGTAGATGTACACAGATCATGAGGGAATAGAGTGGTTGTGCAACTCTGATCACAATCCCATCAAATTAATTTAGAACAGATAACCCTCAGTGATCAACCCATCTTATCATTTAGAGACAATGCCGATGACAACATCGTACCTTTTCAGAGACTTTATTGCTGCTGCCATTTAGCAACTCAGGGGCCATCCATGGTAAAGTTCCCCTTACTCCACCAGAAACCAAGGTATTTCGCTTGATTTTTGACAGGCCAAAATCACCAACCTGAAAAAGGACATTGCTTATTATGCAAAAATAGTAAGTAAACAGTTCCCTGCTGCGCAACATTCAAACTGCAATCTTACCTTGCAAATGGGACGTGACGGATCTTTCAAATTCACCAGCAAATTGTCACATTTCAGATCAAAATGCACAATATTCTTTGAGTGCAAGTATTCCATCCCAAATGCCGCATCCATTGCAATTATGAGGCGCTTTCGACGGTCAAGATGCCTACAGAGTATGCTGGTTAGGGGCTGGAGAGAAGATGAAATGACCATTGAATGAAGTGAACTAGTAAGATGACATGCTTATTGTTTCCAACGCATTTAAATTACATTTCTGTTGGTGCAGTGATATAATTCTATCCTTCCAAGTGCTCATATGTAATCATGCCAATTGTAACAACCATAAAACAAATTATTGATTCAATGCATCAGCAAATTTAAAAAGCATGAGGCCGGAAATCTTACTTATCCTTGCGGAGTAGAACATGCCTTAGAGAACCATCAACCATAAATTCTGCCACAGTGGCTAAGGTTCCTCCAGGTCCATCTTGCACAACACCATAAAATGCCACAACATTTGGATGGTGAAGCTTTGATAGAATGTCAGCTTCCCGCCAAAACTCAGTTGTCTAAGAAACAAGAACTAGCTTAGTTAGTAAACGGATAGAGCATCAGAGATGCATCCAGAGAAAGATGGAAAAAATGATAAGAAAAAGAAGGGAAAGAAAAGGAGAATGCTATCAGCAGTGATCTCAAAAGTACAGAGCGACGTTCTGGAAGCACGTGTATAGCACCCATATTAAAACCACAATTGAGTCAATCTATCATTTGAATGAAGGGACTCACTAATCTTTCCTGCTCCGATGATCGACCTGTGAAGCAAATTTTCTTTATCCGTTTGATAGCAACATCTGACCCTCTCCATTTCCCATGATAAACAGTTCCAAATGTACCAGAACCCAGTTCTCTGAGTTCTTCAAGATCTTCGTTCTTTATTACCTAGAACATGCATTTGGAGGGGTCACCAAAAAGGACAAAAAGAAAGCTGGCAAACCAAATCAGGTGAAAGGAAGTCCAAAAATAAAAGTTTCATAGAAGAACACCCAGCAAAGAAATGAACATGTGAAATGGTGACAATTTGCACAAGCTCAACGGCAGCGTCCAAAGTAAAGGATAGATGTGAAGTGTTTGACACATTTTGTCAAATACTTTTGAAAAGATGAAGAATGCACAGGCCAAAGAGTGTCATATCTAAAGGAACTATTAGCACAATCGTCCCATATGCTATGGATGTCAGTACAAGTCTTACAGCATTGTCTTATTAACAAAGTTAACGTTATAATTTTCACTTTAGCACTGAGGCACAACAAAAGGGATCCACCACCATCAAATATGTTTTGGGAATTAGGGCTTACCTATTCTACAAATACTGAAGAGAACTAATGTCAAGCCTACCCAAGAAGATCCTAAAGACAGATCCATACTTATTTTAACTGCCCCCATAACCAATGCACCCTTTCCCCAATGAAAGAAGCAACCTGATTCATCTTTAGAGCCACATGAGTCAGCAGGAATTTAAACGGCAACCAGACTTTTTGGCTTCTCGTCGTTAAAAATTTTACAGGGAAAAAGAGCATGGCAACAAGAATCTGATTTGAATGGGGAATAAGAGTCTTGGCAGAGACGGCCACCCCATAGTAAGACCAATACGTCTGGGGCTTTCATACCACCTACCCAGTGTTCATAATTGCCAAGCAAAGGAAAAGGATCGGATCGGAGCCGATATCTCAGAAACCCTATCTATTCATAGGGGTAGGCAAACCAGCTTATTCAAGCATCATACCTGCAAAGTGCTGATATCAACACCTCCCAAAGAAGAAGGATCCAGAGGTGGCAGACCCGTACTTCTTAACTCTATTTGACCCTGAATAAATTAAAAGAAAATCAGAAATCTCGTAATAAAAAAATTCACTTGAAAGATTGATCATAACAAGGCATCCTCTGAAGAATACCTCATATTCTGACTCAGGTGTCCTCAAGTTCTCTGCAACAGAATCAAATCGCAACCCTTCACCATTCTTGAGTTGGGAATGACCAAATTCCATGTGCAAAGCAGATGTGTCGGTAGTACCAGATACTTCAGGCAATTCTTCAGGGCCATTCTGAGCACAAATGACAGGGGAATTAACATTGACCTTAGGATCTTCATCTGATCTTATCTGTGTCAAGTGATGAGATCTATCATCACCCTGTCGAGCTTTTCCAACCTCATAAGGGAAAACAGGATGATCCTGGTCTATAAGAGAAATATCATTTCTCTTATATTCTTCGTGTGCCAACATCTGGAAGTATGACCAATGCTTAGGTTCATGGTTTTCCATGTTCAAGCTCACACCAGCCCCATCTTTATGCAGCTGAGTGTAATCAAATGAATTTTCGGAAAATATTGCTTGGGCAAAAATGTCGGAAAGCACATCACGAGGAAACCGCTCATCAATGTCAATGAGAATGTCTCCTTCCTTTGGTTTCACCTTATGCTCGGGAAGAACAGATATGCCATCGTCATTATATCTAGTGTAAGTAACTTCAGATCCAGCTTCAACAGTCTCAACAACCGGGAATTTCTTGTGATCAACTAAAGGAGCATTCTTTGCGTGATTAATGTTGAGAGTGCTAATCTCTTTCGTAACACCTTTATCATCACCAAAGGACGCCTCTGGCAACTTAAGTTCACTGTCCAGCCCATACTCTGTGGCTCTTGAAGTTATTTGAGATATACCATTTGCAAATTCTCTATACAACTCAAGTTGTGCAAGTCCATCATCAATCGTCTGAGGTTCTCGACATGGAGGATTTTCACCAGAAACGGGCTGTTCTATTTCAACACGGGGAGTCATTTGTTTTCTCTGCAAATTACCATTGACTTCTGCACTTGGACCAGGCTGTGCAAGGTCCAAACCTGAATGAGATACCATAAACTGAGAACCAAGTGAATCATCTGACTTAGATAACCGACTAAGTAACTCTGCTTGTTCACGAGGAATCCTCTCAGAGCGATAAACCCTCTGAGGAAGAACAGGTGGCTCAACATAACTCAAACCATTCGGAATGGACTCAGAGTTACCTTCATCTGGAGCAATAACAGTTCTTGCTGTGGAACAGTTGTCATAGTTACTGACATTGGGAACCTGCACTGAAGTTAGAACAGCATCAACAGACACGGGAACCATTTCAGGATCCTTATTTTTCCCCACATTGTTTGAAGGAAAATAGGGTGTGTCCTTCTCAGTCGCACCTTTTAATGCCGATAATCTGTTAATCTGTGAGTATCCCATCTCATCAATCTCATATGACTGTGAAACAACAGAACGATCTTTCTTCAAGGTAGATGTGCCGTCAGGGTCACTCTCTTGCTGGACAAAGTTTTCACTTTTTGGTTTCTCCTCCCTTAATGATGACTCAGAGTTCACCTTAAGCAAACTATCCTGCAGATGCATTTCCATCAAACCTCCCTGCTGATTCATAAGAACGTGAAATGGCATTGTAGTGAGCGTTTCTCCTAAAAGAGAGCAAGTTGACTGGTCACGCCCATAGGGCAAGTAGTATTGCTTTGTATCTCCATTTTGCAATACCTGGCCGTTGTAGAACTGGGGAACAGTTTGACCGGCATAGGAGGAATCACTTAGAACCGCTGAAGACAGAATTTGTGATGGTGAGACAACGATTCCAGCCAAAGGAGAAACACCGACTCCAGCTGCATTAACCTCTGTACCGATATTCTGTCCATCTAAATCATCTAAATTATTTGTTGACGAGCTAGCAAAACCATGAAGCATTGAGCTTTTTCTCAACCCAATATCCATTCCATTCACAGCAACTACAAACTGCATCTCAGACTCACCATTTGTACTCCCGATACCCAAGTCAACATCTTCCAAATCACTCATGGAAAAAAGGAAAATCCTAAGCTTATGTGAGCCCTCTCTAAAATCTAGCTCCTTACACTCCTCCATCATGTTCTGCAGATCTTCGTCAGAAGATACAGAGACCAAGGCATCCAGGTCTTCTCCAGGGAGCTGATACTTTATAACATGAGCTTGGCCATAAATTGTCAGCATTTTTTCCACAAGCTCCTGCCAAGAAATGTCCTTCCCTATGCGTACGATTCGTGTATCCCCTCCAACATACCTGAGCTTTCCATCACTTGGACGAGGCAGAATTTTACCGCCAAAGCTGCAGAGGACCTTCATACTCATCGATGAGCTATCAGAGGCACCTGAAGAGGTGCTCCCTGGGATGAACTGCTGTGAACTTGCACAGGTTGATGTTCGAGGAACTGATCTAATTGAGGGATAAATACTTGAACCCTCATGAAGATAGGAGTTCCTCTCGAGCTCTCTAGGAGCTTTCTCGGTGATGTTAGTCATTGAAATGTCTGATCCACTTTCTGAACCTGTGTGGCTGATGCCTAAAATGCCCTTTAGTTCCAAGTAACGCGTTGAATTGGAATCACCGACTGCATTTTCAACAAAAGGTTTCCGGGTATTTACTCGATCACGCATAAATTCAAGCGCGAACTCCTCACCTGTCTGTATGGAATAATTGAGAACAGGTTTAGCTGCTGAAGCACTTATCTCAAGCGGTCCTACATGAGTGCTTGCAACTCCCAGCGGAAATGACTGAGATGCAGGATGAATGTTTTCCAGGCCAGGCTGCCCTGTGTCATGATAGAACGGCCCATATGTTATTGGTTGCTCCATGAGACCATCATTTACTACTTTCTCCATCGTATCCTAAAGAGCAAATTCCGAATCCAGCCAAAACAACCTGGACAGTGGCACAGCAAACATTCAGATTAGCCAATGCAATGCATCGGAATCCAATCATACCCACAGTAGCATCATATTTTTAAAGAGAATTATTAGATTTGATTACGGAGGCATGCCGAGAGGTAGTTGGACTTGGAGAGAGCCAGAAGCTTCGCTCATTTTTGAGACAGCAAATTACTGTGTAAATGACCAAGGCCTTTCGATGCATTTCGTGTTGAGCATACAAAGATCCAAGATATGGAGAAAAGGACAAGACACAGGCAGAATTTTACAGAACAGTGGATGAGACAGGGTGAAGCTACAGCATAATCACCTTTACAGTTCACAGTGCATTGAAGAAAATTCACGGCATGACAAAAGCTTGAGTTCGCCGAGGCCGAACTCAGGTAGTGACCTACTAGTAGTCCGAAATGGGTGTCGAACTCAAATTCATTGCCCTTTTTCTGCATCTTTATGCTTGACCTCGATGTGAATGGATTTGGATACTTCTCTCTTCTTCTTCTTCTTCTTCTTCTTCCGGGCTACACGCTATGGTGGGTGGGGAAAAGTCGCGAACTTTTTGAAAATCTTTACCTCAAGACGGAAGAGGAACGACGAAAACTAAGCAAAGGCTAAGTCCCACAAAAGCTCACGAAAAAGTAACTATGCACACAGCAACATTTCCAATCCACAACAGCTTCGAAAGGCTAATCTCGTATCTTGGGCAACCGCCCGAGGAGAGGAGCCTCGATTCACGGACGAGCGAAGGAACGCCTGAACATCGGTTGAGAGTGCAGAAGGGAAATGCAAAGATGAAGTCCTTTTTACCTGGAGAGCGGTGCGCCGATCCAGGCTCAAGAGGGGGCTGAGTTAGCCGGACATTTCTGTAACTGGCAGAGGAGGAGGCGCGTGAAAGCTCAAAGACTCCAACCCTTTCTTAAAACTCTAAAACTCATGTGGCTTCATCAGCGACGAAGATGGCGTTGCTTGCTGCGGTCACGTCATCTCTCCATCCTTCCGCTGCGGATTGAATTTCAAATTTTGTCGGACAGACAAACCAGAGAATTGAACGTCCTCCCCCTTCCCCCTCGTTTCCCAGCTATCTCCGCCCGACGACACCAGTTCAGTTCCCGACAAACCTCGACTCCCCAATAGAAGGAAAATGTACTGTGTTTTAGGTAGGCACTTCGGCAAATGCTAAGCATACCATGATTACTTAATAAACTAAATATCGTGATAGAATTTTATTAGACGTTGAATATTATTTAGGGATAAATACACTGCAAGTCTCGAAACTTATCATAAAAATACATTTGAATCTTAAAAGCTTTCAAAAAATGAATTAAGTCCTAAAACTTATTACGAAAATACAATTGAAACTTGTCAAATTGTCGCAATCAGTTCTTTCCGTTGATTCTGTAAGACTTTTAAAAAATGCAATCAAATCCTAAAACTTGCCAAGTTGGTGCAATCAAGCTTTTTCCACAAACTCTGTTTAACAGGGTCTTTATTACAATTTTTGGAAAGTTCCGGGACTCAATTTCTCTTTCATAATAAGTTTTTGGACTCCAAATTTACTTATCCTTATTATTTAAAAGGTCCGCTTTCATTGTATGATAACTTTCTTTATTTTGCAACGATTACGACACCTCCATATATGTGCATTCTTATAATTTTCATCTCTTTATTGATTGGAGTCATTGCGCGCTCATTAATAAAGTGTTTTCTAAGTTTCGAATGAACTAACGAAACAAAAACGTTCTCTTTTTCTTCGAGTAACACCTTAATAAGTAAATATTTTCATGCTAAAAGTTGTCATTAACGATCAATTTTCGAGCTCTAGATTTCCTCTCTGGCTTCATTGAAAATCTGTGGAAGTTCTTCTGCACTAGGGAACTCCAAGTAGAAGGAGCAAACAAGTCTTTTATGTATGTGATTGGGTTAAACCAGATGTGACTTGAAGTTAGTGGTGAGTTAAAAATCAAAGTCATTCAATTTTCTGCGGGGTTGCACTGCAATGCATGTAATCAAGTCAAGTACCCATCGAAGAGGCCTGAGATGACGAAGGATGAAAAAGGCGTTCGCCGACCGGGAAAAGAACGAAACAATTACAGAAATATTAGACGCCAAATCAAACGCACGTATTTAGTGAGAGGACCACGACAATCTTCCAAGGAAAGCAAAAGGCGTAATTTACGCAAGAGTTTGACCGCTGAGAGTTGTATGAGTCGTCGATTTCCTCCTAATATAAATCAAGGGGTTTATGTAGACAAATAAGGGTTGCTTTGCTTTGCAAGTTCTTAGTTTATGGAGATGGTCGGCTTAAGGTCGGGCCGTTTATTGTTAAACAATTGAGGGTTGCTTTCCAAGTTGTCCGTTTTTTTCCCCTACGGTTCCGCATCAATTTTAATATATATATGTAACACGCACTCATCTAATAAGTCTTCACGTATAGCATCGGTCCATCGTAGCTAATTGTATGAATATAACATATAATACATGGTGTGAAGTGATGGACATAGAACCACTCGTCATTTCTACTTGGGAAGAGAGAGGTGGAGAGTTCGATTGTCCACCTCTCGAGAGTAGGAGTGGGGACAAAAATCAAAAAGTGATCCATGCTATGCAATGATGAGTATAGGTGCATATGTCTTAGCTAAGGACCATATGAAAATAGATAAATTGCTCCGCTCAAATTTGTATGCATTGGCTAATTGAATTAAAAAAGTTAACTCTAGTTAGCCGTTCCTTAAGTAAAATACGTGTTAAATATAAAGTCCATAACTCGAGGGGCATACTAATTATAATCAGACCGTTTAATTTATGACCCAACGAAACCAAATTTAAGTATTATCTCTAGACGTTCCTTCAGATGCACTAGGTGTGTGTCCGATTCGAGGTGGATCTTAACGATTTTAGTAAAAAATATGGACATGACTTTCAAAGGTGAGGATATGCGCTCATTAAAATAAGAGATTAGTTAGGTAACCACCCGGAGCTTACCCATTCTATTTTCCACTTGGCAAGTCCAAAGTCAAATTAATTTTGACTAGTTAGTGCTATTTTCTTGCAGTTTTCTAAATATATTGAGCGCACTATCAGTTACAAAAGTGATGCCGCGGTGTACATCCTTTATTCTCAATACATTCGTCTTTTGAAGTTTCCATGCCCATCCCATGAGAAAAACCTATTGCAAGTGTAGCGATTCAGTAATAAATTTTTTTTCTTTTGTCAATTGAGCCTTAAACCTTGTAAAATTGTGACAATTCAGTCGATCTCGCCAACTTTGGCCAGAAATCGCTGACATGGTACCGCCGGCATTGGCACAGATAATTTTTATGATTTTTTTAAAATTTTTATGATTATTTTATTTTTCTCTTTTTTTCTTGGTTTTTTCATAGTGGCCAGCTCTTGCTATCACTGGGTTAGGTTGACCTCATAGGCCATGGGTGAGGTCGAGCTCACTAACGGCTGGGCTGGCGATGGTCGAACCTCGTCGACCATGAGCAAGGCCTAACCTCACCAGATCCGATGAGGTATAAGGCTAGACCTCGCAACTGCGAGGTCTGCCAAGGGCTGGGCAAGGCATGACCTCAACTGCGAGGTCGGCCCTCATGGTCTTTGACCTCACAGCCTCTGGTGAAGGCTGCCCTTGTTGATGGCTGGGGCGAGGTCGAGTGAGGTTGGCCTCACCCAATGATGGCGAGGGTTGCCAGCAACAATGAAAAAACAGCAAAAAAACAAAAAACAAAATTGTCTATGTGAGCGATTTCCGATCAAAATTGGCTGGTTGGACTAAATTGGCATAAATGCAAAAAATTTACAACTCAATTGACAAAAAAAAAAGTTTATGACTAAATTGACATAATTACAATAGGTGTAAGACTTTTTTGGTAATTTTCCCTATGAAATGCTCGTGTGGCGAAAGCCTTAATGTGAAAATTCCACAAAATTTATTGTCCTCGGAGTTAGCTTATATGCGGACATTTTCATTTTAGTTTTATGTATAGGTATAGATAGGTATAAATAAAATTTGAGTGAAAGAAGTAAGCCGTAGAACACTTAAAGGCGTGCCTGCGAAAATAAAAGAGAAATGCAGCAAAAGAAGAAAACGGAGAGGAATAGCGATCGCGATGGGACTCGAACCCACAATCTCCCGCTCCGGAGGCGAGCGCCTTATCCATTAGGCCACGCGATCACATGCTTCTACCTCTCCAATTTTAAATATTTAACCTAGTATCTACCCTTATCCATTCGCCCACTATTCTTCCCCAAGTTTACTTAACAATTTAAGAGGAAACCAAACTACGCCGTTGGAATCTATATGTGATCGCCATCACAATATATGGTTGCTTGGAATCCGGATTAAGTGAAGGTAGCGCTTAGATTCACTTGCGAATCTTCGACTTGGATTTTTAACTATCGCGGTCGATTTTCAGTTGTCGCGACGACATAAAGTCATCCCTCTGAAGATCCATAGAGATGGATACGTGGCAGCTCATTACGTAGCAACATCAACTTTCAATTTAACGATAAACCCAAATGAATCGCAAAAATGTCTCTCCACGGATATCATTATGACTCATGCAATGTAATGTTTTTACTTATCTTGTACGATCATACGTAAGTAAAAAAAGGGCAAAAGGTTGTATCATAGGATCATAGGAAATGGGGGCAATGATTGTCCAAAACTCACTCAAAGCAGCGAATCAAGAGAGCACCTACAATCACAGTTCACCAATTCCTATTGCTAAGAGTCGGATGCAAACGGTAACACTCGATTTTATCAAAAATACAGGGAAATTTTTTAATTAGCACGACACAATTACATTATCGTCAAAGGAAACGAAAGCAATGTTTTCATGCGAATTTCCCAGTCAAGCACTACAATATCCGAGCCTTACACAGGTCGATCCGTTCCATTTAGACAAACGGCATGTTTAAGTTGATATGTTATAGTGTCATTTTTCGACCATGACATGATTAGACGCTTCTGATATTCGTGCTTAAAGGCGAATAAAAACATGTTTGAAAACACAAACATCATATAACATTGAAAAGAACTCTAACTCGATAGTACTTAGCAAATGTAATGTGAGGTCAAGCTTACTCATATCGTATAGAAATGTACGGACATGGGCTGTTTTGCACGAATCACTGGACCGGTGATTCCAACATTCTAAAGATATTAAAAAATATGTTCGATACCGTTTCCTAAAATCTGATCATGGCCATGCATACAACCCTCTGGGCTCATCCAAGTCCATAAGGTTCAAAGCACGATTACACAGCCCAAAAAACATATGAATTTAGGAGTCAGGCTAGCCTATGCACGAAGAAAATTCTAGTATTGTTCTATATCACGAATGGACTCGGACGGAGATTTCTAGATAAATACTATCTTGAATGGTCCATTATTTTTACCTATGATTTTGCTAGAGTATCAAAAAAAATTTAAGAATGAAAATTGGGGGGCCACTCATCTTGAAGTTGCAAACCCCTCAACTCGAAGAATTCAAATATGGGGTTTGGGGAAGCCGAAGAAGAAGCAAGTATTGAAATAAGTCGGCGAGGCTTCTCCCCCAACACGGGCACAGCTCGTCGCGGAATTCAGTTAAAACAACAAAACAACAATTCCCTCCCTCCCTCCCTCCCTCCCTCCCTCCTCTTCTTCCCCACTTTCCCTCCAAAACCTCTCCTCTCCTCTCTCCTCTCTCTCCTCTCTTCTCTCTCTCTCTTCGCCATTTTTGCAGAGAGCATTCACCCGAAAGAAAACGCAAAAGATTCAAGAAGAAGGGTTTGACGCCATGCCCACCTCCCTGAACAGGTGGTGGATCTTCATCTTCGTCCTCTTCGTCTCCTTCCTCGTCTCGCTCCGCCATCGCAGGGGCTCCAGCGCCCATCTGCATGGCCAGCCCTTCCCCCCTCCCCCCTTCTCTCCGGATTCGCTCTCCCCCGTCCTGCTCCAGAGGAGCAGCGACGACGACGACGACGATGGCGCGGTCGACAAGGAGGGGGGAGACCCCGCCCTCGGGCTCCAGTACGACTTCTACCGCCACACCTGCCCTGCCGCTGAAGATATCGTGAGGTCATCCATGGCCAGAATCTACTCCCAACACCCCGATGTTGCCCCCGCGTTTCTCCGTCTCCTCTTCCACGATTGCTTCATCAGGGTCCCTTCTTCTTCTTCTTCTTCTTCTTCTCCTTCTCCTTCTCCTTCTCCTTCGTTTCTGTTTCGTGGGTTCCTCGCTTGGAGAGGCTGATTGGCTTGTGTGTTTTCTTGAGTCAGGGTTGCGATGCTTCCGTTCTCCTGGACGACAGCCAGGGAAACCGCAGCCATTCCATAGAAAGGCAGGCCATCCCCAACCGGACCCTCAAGGGTTTCGACAGAATCGATTCCATCAAGCAGGAGCTGGAAGATCGTTGCCCTGGGGTCGTTTCTTGCGCCGATGTCCTCGTGCTCGCCACCCGGGAGGGCATTGTCCTGGTACGCTCTTCTCTCGTTTCCCGTCTCCCATTTCAAGAAACTATCTCGCCCGCTGTCTGTCATTGCCATTCGTTCATGCAGATTTCGATGAAGTTTAGTATTCTCGTGTATTGGCATTGAATTGGCGTTCTATATGGAAAAGTTTAATCATGATTCTCAAAGTCATCTCGGCAATTGAGAAGATTTACTCTACTCCATGTCTAGGAACTTCTTTATTTCCTCCATGTTTCCAGGCTTGCAGCTGGACAGCTACTTGTTTAGTTTGTTCAGTGAATCTTCGTTTCTGTTTCCTTTAACTCCTTATCCTTTTCAATCCGTATTCTGATGTTCGAGTCCACAGGCTGGTGGCCCGTTCTATCCACTTTTCACTGGCAGGAGAGACAGTATTCAGTCCTATTTCGCAGAAGCAACGGCTGAAATTCCTAAGCCAGACGATAATGTTTTCCGGACACTCCACCTATTCGGTCTCAGAGGTTTCGACGAGAGAGAAACAGTCAGTCTCTTAGGTATTATTACACTAAAGTCCATCCTTCTATCTTACTTTGTGGTCAAGTTGATTTGAACTGCAAGTGGAAAACCGGGCACTGAATTGATAAATTCTTTCAATATGAAGGAGGGCACAATATTGGCAAGATTGGTTGCGAGTTCATTCTGGAACGCTTGCACAATTTCTTGGGGACAGGTCAGCCAGACCCAACCATATCTGCAGACTTTCTCAGTGAGTTGAGACACAACTGTGAAGACAGTCAGACAAGCAGCAATAGCAGCAGTGGCACTCCCCTGCTCATGGAATCAAGGAGCCTTACTAAGTCTGATTTGGGTTTGACATACTTCCCACAGTTAGTGACTTCAATATCATCCGGATCAAGCTTCGACACACATTATTACCAGAGCTTGCTTAGGGGGAGAGGTCTTCTATACGCTGATCAGCAGTTAATGACCGATGAGAGAACTGCAAGTGTTGTAAGGGCTTATGCCTCGGATGATGGATCAGCCTTCAGATTGGACTTTGCTCGTGCTATGATGAAAATGTCAAGTCTTGGTATATTGTCTGGATCAGATGGTCAGATCCGAAAAAATTGCTCGTTTATCGCCAACGGCAATTGAGAGAAAATATTACTTGGGCAGATTGTGCTCTCTTTAATCCTCTCAGTGGCTCATCTCGGCATCTTCAGGTCTTGAGATTGATGACACCAGCAAATTGTGCACGAACGACCACAACTCCATCCCAATATTAAGCTGAACCAGCAAGCAGCGATAATGAAGTTTTCAGCAACAATAGGCAGCTATTTCGGTGACAAACTATGTCATAATGCTTCAGAGCATTGAGCGTTCTTCTTATGCAATGTAAACAATCACTAACCTGTGTAACTTTCTCTTCTCGGCTTTACGAATGTATCCTGCCAGAAAAGAACCAGTCAATTTTGGGAAATGGTGACCTTTGTCTGCTTAGCATCTTTTCCATCTATGACACCTCTCTGGCTTTGTACATGTGCACTTTGAGGGTCTTTTGATTTGGTAGAAATGCTAGTGGACACTTCAAAACTGATAATTTTAACGAGTCTTGTGTCTTATCATCTCTTCTATTTGATGAGGAATGTCATAGTCAGAGGAATTGAAAATTCGTCATCCAATGAGAAATGTCGAAATAAATCAATTAAACAATTTGCAAAATTCACTGGAACTTCTTCTATCTAAGGTGAAAAAAAATAAGTATTAGCATTCTCATTATCTGGACATGTATTTTGTGAGCGCGTGCCCTAACTTCTCAATTACTTGCTTGAGAATCGGGTGCTTTGAGATTTATAGTTCTAAAAGTATCTTGATAGTAAAGTCCAAGAGTTAGTTATAGATTACATCTTCCAAAAAGCTTGCCAAACTTGATGCAGCATTTTGAGTGAATCTCGAGAACAATTAGGATAGCTTTGAGAGATGTTTGGTCATCTCATTCACGTGATGACAATGAGAGAATTAACATGCAAAACTATTTTTTAAGAAATTGACAATAGGCTTCTGCAGCATGGCTTGATGCTGCAGAACCATGTTTATGATTCCCCTATGAGAGCGAGTCAATCCTCAAGTGTCTATGTTGAGTCTTGATCTGAGGCCTTTTTTCTGGCTATATTTATGTATTTTAAGCAGGTATTATCCTCTAGAAACAGCTGAATGATATTTTGCTCCTCAAATAGTGAGACATCAAAACTTGGCACTTTGCAAATTCCATCTAGGCTTCTTTCCAGTCATTGCATCAGCATGTTTTCCTGATGCTAAGTAGAGCGAAGCAAACACTATTGAAGTCCTTGGCAACTTTGTAAAAACAGAGTAGCGTGAAACAGATCGATCTGTCTCGATATGTTCCTCAAAAGCTCCTATTTGTGCTGCATGGACTGTCCAACTTATCAGAAGTGCCACCCCATCTTCTCATCCGCTTGCTGTTCTGCAGCAAGCATCTTTATTAGCATCGGCACTGGAGTTGCACTTGCACCACCACGTGAAGATTTCAAGCAGATAGTTGATGATGCTTTTATGGTTGGATTGGAAGTATGAGCCACATCAACACCCCCAGTTTGATTCCACGATGCAAAAGAATCTCTTTACTAGAAGTTGTAAAGTCCCTCTTGTGCAGAAAGTCGGATCTTGTATCCCAAACCAGAATGACAATAGCAGGATAGTCACTCCTGAAGGTAAGGCCTCAACTGAATTGAGGAGCGTGCAACATTCAGGCTATTTAGCTGGTGTATGCCTTTGTGTGCGTTGTGTGCCCGCACGTGCATGCACACGTACCCATGAGAGAGAGAGAGAGAGAGAGAGAGAGAGAGAGAGAGAGAGAGAGAGAGAGAGAGAGAGAGAGAGAGAGCATAGCATCAGTGGCAATGATCACTAATTTCTGTTTCCATCAGAAGTCTTTAAGATTATATTGTGCATGCAACAAACCTATCATTTATATAGAGAAGCTGAAGAAGAAAAGATCTGGCATCAGCTGTACTGCACTAAGGAGGTCAGTGCCCTCTAAAATGTATGTACATTCTACACTTTACTTGATACAAATCTATCTATCTTTGAAAACCTCTCAAATCTCATTTACAAAATTAGAAGAAGAAGAGGGGGAAGGGGGGGTGTCGGGGAAGGGAACAATCTGATCATTAGCATTAACTGGTCATCCATCTCTCAGATTGATATGTTGAGATCTATTCGAGGTTTCTTTGAGCTCGGGAATGGAACAACAGAATTGCAACGGGGGCACTTGGGATTGTCCTTGGAGATCAATATATAAAGTAAACAGCTGGGGCAGCCGGCAGCAAATGCCGACACCTCTTGATTGCTGTCCTCCCCTTGGGTCTCCTTGATCGAAGATGAAGTCAGCGAATGCAAAGGGGATGGCGATGATTTCCAAAATGGAGATCTCTTCTTGGCCAGTTCTCTGTCTGCTCTCTCGAGCGCAGATTTAACTTTATCGAGAGTGCAGACGCTCTGGTAATTGCAGGACGTTGATGGCGAAGAAGATGTGAGTAACTTGAGGTCCAAGAACGCGTCGTCGGAGCCGTTGAAAGCAAGTTTGGAGGGCGAAGGAGGGAAGTTCAGGTCCTGAAACTGAGGAGGTGCTGAATTGATGGGTTGGTGCTTGTGGTTGGATGAGGAGGGCAGAGCTTGGGATCTGCATCGTTGGATATAGACTTTCCCTGACTGAAGGCACGTAGAACCAAATTCGAAATCAATAACAACATTTAGTAACATGAACGGGTTTATGACAAACAAAAAACTAGGGCGTCCTGGCTCGATTCCATTCATTCCTAATCTACGACAGAGGTCTGCATAAATGGGGTGCATGGATGAACAGGTTTAATGGAGCAACAGAGAAGCAGATTGAGAATTAACAGAGGACATAGAAGTGTCAGGCATCGTTTTGGCGTACAAATCATAATGAAGGCCTACACATACAGTGACGCCAATTAAGAAATTTCCTGTCTTTCCACATAAAGATAAAAAGGGTTGCAGAGTTAATCTACCCCACCTGCAGAAGATAAGATGGCCACGACCCCAAAAAGGGGAAGGAGGGTTGTGGGAAGAAAGCCATTCGGTCTACAACTCAAAGTAATTCATGAAATGCGTCCAAAGATTCATTAATTTGGGGTCCGTTTGGTGGCAGAAATGAGCGAAGAAATTCAAACCCAATTGACAAAACAAGCGGCGAATTAAGGAGCGATGGAGCGTGCTTGACTTTTTTGAGGAGATCACCTGACATGAGTTGCAGGAAAAAAGAAAAAAACGATTTATCTGTCGACCCTCCCTAGCCTCTCTTGCGTCATATGCCCGAGGCCATCTAAGAAATTCCCGGTAAAAGAAGGACGATGCCGTGAGACATCCCCGAGTAAGTGTCGATTGCCCAGAAAACATGGTAAAAAAAAAAAAAAAAAAAAAACAAACTTGAGCTGAACGACAACAAAACAGGGAATGAATGGAACAGGAGGAGGATTGAGAAGTGGGGAAGAAGGGGGAACCTTTAAGTCGAGGCGCTTTTCCCAGCCAGAAGGGACGTGCAAGTCGAGGTCAACCAGCTCTTGGGACGACTGGAACTCGAGGCCAAGCAGGTCTCGAGTCATGGGAGGCGTGGATTCCTTACTGGGGTTGTGGTGGAGCATCAGCACCGGCACTGGCTGCGGTTTATCGTCGTCCTTCTTCGTCTTCTTCACGAACTCCACCACTCTGCTCATGCTCACCTCTGCGGCCATATTTTCGTCTGCTTCTCTTCTCCTCTCCTCTCCTCTTCTCTTCTCTTCGTTCCCCCCCAAAGAAAATGTCCAGATTTTCACGCCCTTTGGGGGTCTTATATGGGTGGGAGAGCGTTTGGGAGAGGAAGAGAGACAGAGGCAGAAACGAGGCACGTAAACGTATGGGATGTCAGTACCATTTACTGAAAATACTTCTCATGTATAACATCTCTCTCAGGAGAGAGAGAGAGAGAGAGAAGGGCCGTCGAATACTTGTCAACAGTCAAGGCATGTTGATCAGGAAAATGCCTCATTTGCAGAAATACTACTAATTCACACTGGTCACGAAAGAGCAGTACATTGAAATAAAAAAAAAATTGAGATTTAACGAAACCCATGATGAATAAATAAATAAATGGAGATGTGATTAGAGACAATAATGGGGGGTGGAGTGTTCTAAATGCCCACTGAATCAAGTAGGGAGTATTAAATGCTTCATTTATGGTTGACGCATTTAAACGCGGGGAGGAGGAGGAATTCAAGGAAAGCGGGCAGGCGTTCGTAAATGATGTTAATAACATTAGCATTTAATGCTGTCCAAACTTAGCAAACGCTAAGTCATCGTCCCCACCCCAGCACATACACACCCACCCCACCCCCCCCCCCTGCCCCCCAGAATTCGTTCATTTAAAACTATATATGTATTTCAAGAAGAAGAAAGTGGAAAATTCAACAAAATCTCCCCATTTTGACATTTAATGCAGTCCTCCCACGACTTCTCTTCTCTTTCCCTTCGTGGAATTCGAGGATAGATAGAGAGAGAGAGAGAGAGAGAGAGAGACAGAGAGACTAATAATGGAGATTAGTTGTTAATTTGCACTTGATCTTGAAATTTGAAATTATTTTTTTTTTCGAAATTAAGCATGCGTAATAAATATACTGCTAACATCGCAACCCCTTAATTAGTCGATCACGACACATGTTTAATGGAAAAAGGAGTTCAAGAAATACAAGTGCAAATCGAATCGTGCCGAGTCTTGACACGTTGCGATCCAGAGGTAAGAGACATGATTTGAAACGGCACCGTTGAAAACTCGACCTCGTGGGGGGTGGGGTCGTGAACTTCGTTTGGACTTTTGGGAGGGGAGGGGAGGGGAGGGGGACGATCTCTAGCAAATAACGACGACAACGAAGTTTGACGCGCAAAAGAAGCAAAAGTTGAGCAGGAAGACATGCAAACTTCCACCGCGCATTCATTGCCCCGATGTATCTCTCTCTCTCTCTCTCTCTCTCTCTCTCTCTCTGCCTATCTCTCCATCTCTTTAATGCATTTTCGTCCTCATTTGATTCAGCTCAGCTACGCGTTCCCATCCATTATTAAGAGCCAAATTGGGGGACCATATGCACTCGCCCTTGCACTAGCACTGCCTTATGTATTATGCCTTCATCTCTCCATAGCCCCAACATGAGATATGCCTCGGAACAAAATCTCCAACGCCATCAAAATTGAATGCTGGGAATTTTCTTTGGTGAATCCAGAAATAGAAACGATTGAAGAGGAACTGCCAACCCCGACAATTAATGGGTGACGATGGTCCTTAAATTGGAAAGAGGCCCAATGCTCTTTTGGTTCCTCTTCAATGTGATTTCATGTTAGAGCCACCCCCACCTTCTTTTATCTGCTTTTAATGGCCACTCTCCCCCCTTTCTCCTCGGTCCACATGCTCCGCGTAATCCAGTTGGGAACCGTCGCCCGCAACTTCTTAATTCGTCTTTTGCTCTATTTATACTCTGCTAATATTCTTTTCAAATGCTATTTACGGTTTGGAATTTGTAGTAGACCAGTATACCGGGACACCGATCGATCGACATTAATGTGACTTGAAAATCTTGAAAAGGTAAATCGGGTGCATTTTCATAGCCTGTAGTTCTAAACCACCGTGCTTTTCTTGGTTTCGACATCTCGACTTGCCTGTTTAAGCTCTCATGTACAGAGTAATTTTCACATCAGGTATCGTTAACGAGCACCCATTTACTTCAAAATTGAACTATGGAGATCTATTTCAACAAAAGTTATCGAAAAAGGTGGCGATAATTAAAGGGCATAGAAAAGCAAGCCGAGAAGGAGGAATTGACAAAATGGGGAACCCATGGCCGGCTGAAACCTAAGTGAGGCCCGTATGCACCACGCAGTTTTAATGCCCGCATTTAATGCCTTCTTTTAGCTTCGAGCGCGTACTTGCCATTAAATTCCTAACTTGTCTCTTTCTCCAACCGACTCTCTCTCTCTCTCTCGATCTCGATATCATAAACAAGGGGAGGAGATTGCCATGCTTACAGATGGCGATGTAGGATTAACTCGTCCAGAATTATCAAAAGAAAAAAGAAGAAGAAGAAGAAGAAGAAGAAGAATTGCAGTTGGTGTTTATGAGGCTATAAATGTATGGAAAGAAGATGATATCCTTAGAGCTATTTTGGTAACCGATGCTTTTAATGTTTTACTGCGTGAATCTACTTATGGCCATTTACCAAAGTATACCAGCCGCTCGTTCATACACACACATTACACCCAACTCCCATTTAATGCCTCTATTCAATTCCTATCATATAGCCTCTTTAAAGCTCTCTCTGCCTAACTTCTCATCTCATCGCACCCCTTTCATCTCCTCCATTGCGGTTTCCTTGGAAGTACACAATCATGGCACTTTTTTCTTTTTGGTTTTTATATTTTACAGTAAATTCATGGGCACGAATCATCAATTCGTTCTTAAAATTGAAACATGGGATTCGATCCATCAATAAAGTTTGCGGAGATTATTAATTAAGAGTGGAGAGATCAACAAAGATATCTCGATTGGAACTTTGCAACTTCCCCTTACTGTAATGCTCTATGCAAAATAAACAAATTTGTAGGACCTATAATGGATGCTACGTGGGACCTAGTAAATGAATAGCTTACGTGCCCACCTAGCTATATATTTCTCTAACCCTGATAGAAGAAAACTTCCACCATTGGCCTTTTTCATTTGTGGTCTCAAGTTGTGGACATTGCCTGCACGCAAGATATTTTTTTGTTGTTGACAAAATCCACATGAAAAATTAACTAAATATAAACGTGGATAACGTCAATAATCGTTACCCACTAATTTGAACGATTGTTGGTGGATATTTTTTTATAGTCAAGGTTGGAGAAAAACAAGACCCACGTTGCTAGGACCCTGATAAAGTTTCTCGAAACGATAGTTACTAGTCTAGCCCTCTTAATAAAGGCAATCTAGACTCAGTGACCTAAGTTTGCTACTCGAGCAAGTTTCATAAAACCAAAAAAAGAAAAGAAAAGAAAAGGGAGCGCAATATGCAAAGCGGAAAAATAGTTGATGAAGGAGATAGATAGCGTAGAGTTGGGTTGGGGGCTTAACTTTGATTAGCAAAACGTAACATTAAATTTATCTTTGGGTTGGGTTGGGTTGAGTGATCTCCCACCACTCATTTACGATGCTTATCATGTCTTTTCTATGTATATATACGTGTCCCTTTTCTTTAACTCGATTGGGTCGTTCAACTTTAAATGGACGTGCAAGGGGTGAGAACAAGAGAGGCCGTGGACGAGACGATGATACAAAGACAATTAATTGGTGAATGACTTTAAGATTATTAGGGAGGGGGTGGGTGGGGGCAAGTGATGACCAAATCCTCATTTAGATTAAACTTCGAATTTTAATAAATGATAGGCACATTTAATGCAAGAGAAACGTGCAGGGCTTTGTGGGGTGGGGGGGTTGCCTCGGGCTATTAATGGGGAGGGCCAAGAAATTCAAATAGGTCGGAGGGTTTAATACGGAAAAAAAAACTCAATCGACGGACGATGCTGATGGTGGGTGGCGTGCATCGCATCATCAACTGACAATTAATGAAGGGGGAAAGGGCCATTTTTCTAAACCATGGTCGAGGAAGAGATTAAAAATTGGGGAGGGCATCAATTTTTACAAGTAGACCTAACGCATCAATTGGGGGTGAGAATAGAAGGCAATTGATGTCATGGAACGAGGCAAAGACTATTATTATTATTATTATTATTATTCAATGGTCTTCATGAGTTGCTTACCTAACTCCCCCCCTCAAGTTATTTGCTAACCTCGGATGTACTACCCCGCCATTAATTGTCCTCTTCTCTCTCTCTCTCTCTCTCTCTCTCTCTCTCTCTCTCTCTCTCTCTTGTGCATTTTCTGATGCATTTTCTTGCGCTGTTTTTTCTTTTTTTTAAATGACTCATCGCAATGCCATGGTTTGTTGTCCCCCCTCTCTCTGTGTTTTCTTTTTTTAATTGTGAAGTCATCGATTTTCCCCTATCTTTGTATGAAATTAAAACAATCCCTCTACTTTTCTAGCGGTTCAAAATGGTCAATGTATTTTTTTTACAAGTGCCACCATTCGTCCTTTTGCCATTCATTCTTTTCTAGTGGTTCAAAACGGTGGCATTATGATGACATGCATTTTTTTCTTAAAACAAAGGGTTTGAGTTTTTGGGGATTTCTTTTGCATTTATTCATAAGACTCTTTCTCTCTCTCCTGTCACGCCGGTTGCCACCATCGCGATGGTGGCGTAGGATCTGAGACGCTCTCTCCCCTCCCTTGCTTTTGTGTGTTGCGGTGGTCGCCATTGACAAGTGACCCGCCATTGTGCGCCGTGGTGGCCGACTCCAGAGACAGTGCATCGGAAACGATAATTTATCTTAATTTGGATGTTTCAAGAGTGTCTTGGACATAGAGTCGCCTGTTAACGGAATCCATTTTTCTTTATTCCTTATTAACTCTGATTCATAACTAACCCGATATTAGTACAGCAATAACGAGGACACCGAGGTTGCACATATGATATATGATGTTGTGTTTCAACGCGTCGAAGAAATACAATTCATAGTTTTGATTCAACCAAATGTGGGGGTGGATCAGCTACCGATGGTTCCCGTTTTTCAAAGTCAACAACATAAAACCCTCCACCATATCGTATGCGCCACTTTGATGGTAACCTCTCAATTTTTCTTTCACTTACGTCGAGCTCGTGAATCTCTGGTTCATCCACCTCAGTGCGGTCCCGACATGGAGCGGACATCTGACATTTGTGTAGCGTCCGATCGACGCTCTCTCGCTGCACTGAACCCAAAACAAAGAGATGAGAGAATAAACAAAGGCGGAGAGAGTTGTACTTTCTCTCTTCTTTTGAATATCACTCGAGTAGTACTAAATTGGTCCGAAGGAGCTAGTAGAGAACTTCTATGTGAATGAATGCATGTATGTATGTATCCATGCGCACTCTGATGCTTTCGATGAGGATTCATTTGCACCCACAAATGCCACGTTAAGGCGTTCGAGACTCGAATTGACCCTCCGATACTTGAGTGAATAGGTGAAGGAAAAATAAACTCAAAGAGACTAGAGAGCAGAGATGGCTTGTGCGTAATGGGCGTGGAAGGCCAACAATTATAGGTTACCATACTTGCTTGATGGAGATTTCCTGTCAGTGGAAAAAGTTATGTCGTGGTTTTACCTTGTCAGACGAACAATTACTGTTTGGGCAGCAATTAGGCCGCTGCTGCGGTGGATACTCGACCTTTGGAGGATGATTACAACGTCGTCTCTCCAATAAGATAAGTCCGCTTAGATTGAAGGTTTTTCAATTGGACCGCACCGAGAGGCAAGACCAGAAATCACTTGCCGCTCTAGAACTGCTTCCAACCGGCTATACCCACCACCAGCCAGGTTGACGAGGAACACGTGTCGCGTGTCTATTGGCAGGTCAAATCCGTCTATTATGAGCATAGCTTAAGGATGAAAGCTGGGGGGGGAGGAGGCTAATAAAATTGGACATTCGGAAGCCATTGCCGACATTAAATGAGGAAATGAATGAGGGTGGGGCTTATAGATTAGCGAAGGGGGCGGGGGGAGGGGGTCCAATCGCTTTTGGTTGGTCAACATCGCCATTAAGGAGTGGTTCAACTGCAATTAAAAGCAGCCTCTCCCCTCTCCCCTCCCCTTCATTTATATATGATGACCCACACACTCACTCACACATCGTACTCGTAGGATCCAATTCATGTTGTTCAAACCCTAATTAATTGCGAGTGGGGGCCGCCACCACCACCAAATATAGCAGCAAAATTAGAGAGAGAGAAAGTGTGTGTGTGTCGTGAGTTTTGAGGAGAAGCACTTTGGCTTTGGCTTTGGCTTTTGGCTTTTGGCTTTGACGGGGAGCGTGGAAAGTGAAAGAGTGGGGGTGGGGGGAGTGGTATGGGATGGTGGTGACTCTGTGAAATGCAATTGCATTTAGGGCTTTGTTAGCCTCTCTGATAGGACGGCTGCCCACCATCCTCAAATTGCCTTTCCCATTAAACTTATTCAATTTAATCAGCAGATTTTTCTTCTCCCTCCCAAAGTCTTGTTCAAGAAAAGCAAAATTCCTTACAAATTCCAATCTAAATACACTAATTTAACCGTGTTATTACGTACACCGATCGTGCGATGGAGAGAAGTCTCTTCTTCTTCCGGAAAACTAGTTCGTTATAAATTCGATTTTCGCAAAACAAGGCATGTAAGATGTTTGATATTGCAAAACAAATCTATAATATCGTATCATAAACGGCTCATATTCTTCTTGCGTGATATTTTCTTCTACGGTTTAAATCCCCAAAATTATTATAGTTTCGTATGAGTTGAATGTGAAATAGTAGAAAGTGAGTTTTGGTAAACATTACGTTTAACAAAATTTCGAAATATAAAATCAATGCGAAGCATGGACGAATAGCACTAGTTTCTAATGTGTCCATGGCTCTATGCACTAGTTTCTGGGCCGGTCGGGGTCATTTGGGCTTCACCAAGGGTAGCCCGAAATCGCGGCCCCGCTCGAAAATGAAAGAGGAAACAGGCCAAACACGGAACTGCTCATTTCGTGGCGTAGGTATCACCGTATCGCAAGCCGGTCCGGTTCGGGTTTTCGTTCACCCTCTAAGAAAGAGGCGTACCTTCGTTTTTTCCATTCGAATTGGACAAGAAAGTAGACTCACTCAAACAGGCTCCACGAGTGACGATTGAGTTCGTGGCTCTCTCTCCTCTGTCTTGATACTCTCGGCCACTGTTGCTCGACCACCACCGGTCCGATCGACATGACTTGGGAAGAAACCTTGTGAAGCATTGTCTTCTTGTATTGTAACAGCAAAAAGCCCATTAGGCCCAATCCGGCGCTCCACGCTCGAAAAAGTCCTTGCTTTGGTTTGAGTTGGAAATGGGAAAGCAGAAGCAGAAGATAATACCACCGCCGGAGGTATCAGAGGAAGAATTCCAGGTTTCTGATGAGGACTCGCGGTTCGTTAATGACAACCTCAACTATGCCGGCTTCCTGTCCCGCTTGGATACCCGTTACTTCACCCGGTCAGTAACCTGCCCCCTTTTTCCTTTTAAACCTTCATAATCCAATTGAAAAGAGAAGACCGCCCCATAAATTTTGTAGAAACAGTATGTTGATAATGTGATAATCACTATTTGTGTACGCTGCTCAAGGCACGTCGCACGAGTGGCTGACCTGAAAGAAGATGCTTTGGAAGCTCTCTACTAGTAGAGAAGCACAAGTACATGAAAAACGTAATGGCTGAACTTTGTCGGTGGATATCAAGAAAGAAAACTGTGATGGCAACAGAAGGCGCCAAGAAACTAGGAAAGGGCAAGCGTTAGTCTACAGTAGATGGAATGTCGCTAGTCATTACATTGCTGTTGACAGATCAAAATAAGGCATATCCTGTGGATAGAGGCCCTTGGCGGAACTTGAACTTTATTTTCTGAGGGCTGGCTGTCGACACCGTAAATGCCATGGCGGGATTGCCCCTCGTTGCCAATTGTAGATCTTCAAAGATATGAAATTGTTCTATCTGATAATTAATATATACAGAATGTCTATGTGCAAGATTGGGTGGTATGACCAGTGTTGTTTCTTCTCCATTTGTCTGAGGATCCATTTTATAAGTTACTGCTGTTATTACCTGGTTCCCTGGATAATGTTACATAGCCTTGCTGCATATGTAGCTGTTTATGGAGCCCTGTACCACCATTTCTCGAGTTGCATTTCGTTTGTTGTTTTTATTTTTTCAGGGTCTTTGCTTACTGACCATAGTCCGCAGAATGATGGGTTATATCCTAAACAAAATCAGAACAATCACACAGATAATAGAAAAATTGACACACGAGTTTACTTAGATTCACTCCAGAATAGGGTTACGCCCTGCAAAAGGATTCCACTATGATATTTAGGTTTTACAACCATAATCACTCGTTACAATGATCTTTCATACGAGTACAATATATAGGACTTAAAATGGGCTCAAAGCCCAAGCCTATCCAAATCCTTTTGATTCCACAACAAACAGGTTAGCAAACCCGATGTTATTTCGAGGGCATTGCCCCCGAGCCCCCTTCCGCTCACCGGGGAGCGGAACCCCCGTCAGCTATCAGGGCAGCGAGACCCCCGACATTTCGTGCGTAGGAGTCACATGTCGTCGGTTCATATTTCGATTTCTCTAAACTCACGTGGGCATGTCTGGTATGCGAAATAAGGATCTTCGAAATATTCGCCAACTCCAATACAGGAATGAGAAGAAATCTATCACTTCATCAAGTGTTCTTGTACAAAATGCCTCACGTTTTTTTTTCTTTTTCTTGGTGGCGTGGATAGAGAGAAGACGTGGGGAATCAACCATTGAAATTTAAGCAGTGAAGAGAAGAGAAAAGAGGTGAGGACAGAATCAGCAGATTGGTGAGAGAATGATTGAGATTCTGAAAGATGGGACGCATGTGGCCTCCCCCCCTCTCTTCGTACGGCCGGACAACCCCATTGATTTGATTAGCATTCTCCGTCCAGCTATTTTCTTTGCAACAAAATAATACCTATGACAGCAGGAAAAATACCTTAAATCCTCCAAAATGGGTTGGCTGCACAGGTGTCCTGTCATTAGTTTAAAGGTTTAACGTTGATGTTTTCGGATTCGGAGCCGATGCGGTATTTGCAAAAGGGTGGTCGTCAGTTGGCATGTGCATGTGCTGACTGCGCAAATCAGGGGGAAACTCCATTTCGATGCTTTGGTAGCAGCACCAGCACGCCCCCCAAGTCTAGCTCCAACCGTAACAATCGGTTAAATAATGCGGTTGGTTGGCGTGATTAGATTCTAATATCATTTTTTTGCATAATCTCGTCCATGTCATGTCACGCCTTATTATTAACTTTACTTTATAAATGTGTACGATCTCGGATGACTCGTCGTGAGCCAGTTGTAGCTTCAAAAGCGTAGCTAGCACGCCCAGTCCCTCCCTCAACTGTATTAACGCTTATTTTCTTTCTTCTTTCTTTTTCTTTTTGGTCGAGATTCGCTCGTGGAGTATGAGATTTTGCCGGGGTCCATGGGCGGTGTGAATATATTAATTCGTACGGTACACGGTCCACCGTTGCATGAAGACTTTGAAGCAGACGAAAAACAGAAGGCGAGGCATTATTTCACGATGTCCGTACGGGTGCATCGCTGCGTAAACATTATGACCCACCTCCAAGTCAAAAGTCTCAGGCTACTTGCAGAAGTTTAACCTTTCCCTGCGCAGAGAGGGAGCCAGTGGGTTGCTGACATTATTTCGGCCAAGTCTTTAAGTAAAATTGTTTTAGGAATTAAGAAACACGGGCTCGACAGTTTATTTATCAGTCGCGACCGAGCTTCGTGGCATTATTTATAGCACTAACCTCGTTAGATTTATGTGGTTAATCATCTTGCACGTAAGTGTTGTGCTTCGCTCAAGAATTGGTGTTGATGCTTTTCTTTTGGTACCATGTCAATTCGATAACCGTACAGGAATATCGCTAGTGATATTCAACGCGAGGAGAGGGGTCAGTCCTCGTGTAAAGACGTCCATATGACGCTAGGCACAATCATATGGCCTTTTGATTATTAAGGGTCCGTTTTTTATTACCCTTTGTCGTTAATATTGAGAGAGGAGGGGGGAGGGGCCCCTTCGTCGGATCCTTTTAGCATATTTGTGAAGTGGCTGCCCTCAATCATCTCAAAAAATTGTCAGGTTCCACCCGTCCTTTCCTGGGAGAATCGCATCCAAACGCTCGATTAGCACTCCAATGCCCAGCGATTTCGCCCTTCGCTTGTCACTTTTAATTTGTTCATCCCCAAGTGCGGAAAGCCCTCCGGCCGTTGTCTTTGCTTTCGCAAGAACATCCAATTACTAGCTTTCGATGGAATGAAGTTGCGAACGCACGTTTAAGATTCTCGGATCCATATATATTTGAGGAACCCAAACGAGAAGTTCAGAGCGATGAGTATCGTAGAAGCAGGAGGATGAAGAGGGCGGGTTGGGTTATATAAATGATATCCATAATTGAATCGAAAGAAGCATCATCATGGATAGATGCGTACGGAGTGCCTAACCCCCGCGGGCCGGGGGGTGGGGGGTTAGAGTCAAAAGGATCACCAGCAGCACAAAAACTGCTCCAACGAGCCACTTTTTACTCAGGATTTCGCAACTGCCGCTCACCTAACCGTATTAGGTGGCTGACGTTAATGGTTCCGGGAGGGAAAGAAGAGGAGGAACTCGTTTAATCGGAAATTGCATGTAATCTCTTCATTAATTGGGGA